TTATTTTAACAATTGTGTGGTGCGGTATATTAATATCCTAAAAGATGTAAAAAAACTGTGAAGTCACCAGATGATAATTAAAAAATGGTAGTAATTTAATCGACCAACTTGGGCAAATTAAGTGATCTTTATTCAATATTCACATTGAATATTGAATATTGAATAAAGATCACTTAATTTGCCCGAGTTGGTCGATTAAATTACTACCATTTTTTAATTATCATTTGGAGATTTCACAGTTTTTTTACATCTTTTAGAATATTAATATACCGCACCACACAATATTGTTAAAATAAATTATTAAATTAATTATAACTAACAAAGAGAGAGAGAGAAAGATAAATATATTTTAATATAAAAAGTATAATGTATTTCTCAATATATTAATTTCATATTAAATTATATGTACATATGGAGAGCATTTTCTTCATTTGCCAGAGTTGGTCGATTAAATTTCTACCATTTATTAATATCCTACTTAATATTTGCAATTGAAAGATCTGTAGAGAAATATATACGGGATAGACATATTGAGTATGATAAAATAGTGTATATTTCAAGTAATATAATAAAAAAGTCTATATTTAAAATAAAACAATATATAAAATTTTTATACATTTTTTATGTGATGATTTTTTTTTATTAACCATGCTTGATTGCTCGATTCTCTTTTCTTCGATCTTTTTTCTTTGATATTTCTCGACCGGAATCTATAATGTGTGTGAAAAAATGTATGTATCTAATTTAATAAAACTCTATTTTTTGTATTTTCTAGATGGATTCGAAAGATCAAGCTAATCGTACTAACCAATGCAATCCGAATAATCCTCGAACTGGCCCTGGGCATACTGCAGGTTACCAAGGCGCGGGAACTAAAACGGATTTGGATAACCATGCCAATCAAATGAATCCGAATAATCCGAATTATAAAAAGTAAAAACTATTCATGTTTTACAACATACTAATGGCATTGCAAACATATAATAAGCATTGGTGAGATCATATAATAAAAATGCCGTAAAATCGTACATATCTCTTTTCTCTTCTCGTATCCTTTTATTACCTTTACATATTTATTTCCACGTTCCTATCTAATATTTTTGTTCCGAAGTTTGCTCCAAAGATATTAATCGTAATATTTAAGTAATATTAATCATAGTATATAATTATTTATCGTAGAAGCTAACTATTGTAACATAATTATTGAAAATCTTTTTTTTTTTATAAACGTCTTTAATATAATTCGTATGGGAAATAAAGTTTCTTGCAAAATTAATTTTTTGATGTGCGCATATATATCATTTATAAAATACGTAGAATAAAAGAAAAAAGAAATATTTTGTCGCTGTTACATGAAAAAATAAGAACAATTCACAATTCAAATTATCTGCCGGGCTGTTGGATCCAGTATCCCCAGGGAGCGAAAACATCACCATTTTTTTCTTGCATAGGGCCACGGAAAACTTTTATTTTGACCCGTTCAACATCATCTGTAAGCGGAGAGCAATTATATATTTTATTGAGAAATTATAATCTTTCCTATCATCTTGCTTATTAATTTTAATGTTATTTTAATATTATATTAAAATATATTATTAAATATATTATTATTAAAATATATTATAAATATATTATTATTAAAATATATTATTAATATCGAAAGAAATTGCATCTTTTTCTTTTTATTATTTTGCACTATTTTATCAACGCAAGCGCTTTCGTGTTTTATAATATTATTGCCGCACAGTCTGCGATATTACCTTTTTTTCCAATTTTGTGACGTATAACGCTTCTTGATTCATCGCAATTTATCATCGCAGTAAACATCACTATTTGAAGCAGACTGAGTATAAATAGCGTACACTACACACAAAAAGTATTAATCATTTGATATGTGACTCAATATTCTATTCCGCATTATGAATATTATTGCGAAATTGCAGCTAAAGATAAAAGATTTAAAAATGCAGATGTCTTTCATAATTAATGATACAGAAAAGATAATGATGCTACATGAAACAAAAATAAATTGAAAATATAGAATAAAATTTTTTTAAACGAGACTTTATTTTTCAGAAAAATCGACTTTAAATTTTGAAAATTGGAAAATTCTTTTTAATTTAAATGATCTCTAACGATTATATACATTTTTTTATTTCGTGACTATTTAAAAAATTTGTATAAAAAATTGTGTATTTACTCTATTAAAAAAATTAATTTTTTAGATACTTTTATGTACATTTTTTAATAATTTTAATTATTATTTTAGTAAATAGGGGTGAGAAAATGTTGGTTTTTATGTCTATATATTAACAATCACTATCGCGAAATGAGTGATGAATTCGAAAATGTAACGAAAAATTGTTCAAGTTTAAAAAGTCGTCAATATGTTATTATATAATTTTCGCGTAAATAAGTAGCCTTATATAAAAAATTTCATTTTACATTTTTGACTTATGTGTGTATATGTTATTTTATAGAATTTTCGTATCTTCTATAAAATTATTATCTTCCCGTTGTATCATTAGTTGCAAAACATGCTGTATTTGCATATAGTCCGCGGTCTGACTCACCAATAATCTCATCGTGATCGTCGTAGAATAGCTGACTGAATCTCCGAATTAAGGAGAGGAGAAGCTTATATGTAATTACGTGGCTGCATTTAGAGCATGACCAGTTTTCCATCTCGCGGTTTGAGGGACCGTTTTTCTAAAGAGAAAGTCGTATCGTCCTACGAGACAACGACAACATATCACTGAAAAACAGCAAAAACCTCAATCAACGCTTCTTGTTAATAACATTTCACCTGAGCGATCTGTGTCCGGCACTGAACGAATTCATCGTGACGTTGCAAAGACATATTTAACAGACATAAGTACTTCCAAACAGTCACGTTACGATTGTCGATTTGATTCGCTTCTGATAAAGCTGCCTCCGCTTCCGTAAATCGCTGCAACTAATTATTTTTATAGATATTATTTTTTCATTATGTTTTTTCAAGGATATTTTTATATCTTCTGGATATCCTCTAAATGTCTTTCGGACATGTGTGCTGTTAGGGACATGTATAAAAATAATTTTTAAAACATTCATATGCGATTTACTTTGTAATATAATTTTTTTTAATTAGCAATTTTATTTTTCAGAAGCTTGAATTTTATTAAAATCAAACAATCCAATAATAGGCCAACTTGTGAGCCGAAAGATTAAGAAGTTACAAGATTTTTTATTAAAGACATAAAATAAAAAATAATACTAAATATAATAGAATTAATCCAATTAAATAAACAAGTAAACGTTTCGACAGTACAACTATCTTCTTTAATAAATAAATAACAATAAATTTAAGAAATATTCTTACATTAAAAATTCTTTACATCCTCAAACTTATTAGAAAGAAAGAATCTATATCTAACTGTACGAAATTAACTAATTACAGATTTTTAAAATAACAACACATATACCACAACATGATACGACTATCGTTATGGTTACGCTACAAATCCCATTAAAATAAGGCGCTAATAATTCTAATTTTTTTCGATGGTAAACGCATAAAATCAGATTTCTTTAGATTCACATTTTTCAAACGTCTAAATATTGTGATCCGGGAATCGTCAGTGTGTTAAAAATGTAATATGTAACAAGTCATGAGAATTCCGCAGTTGTTTCCTTCATTGTAAAAATTGTCCTTGTGATAACGAAACCGTTATAGAACGTGATGATAAGTTGATGAGATACAGGAAATTAAAATTTCCTGTTACCATTGTATTGAAGAAGATAGTTATACTATCGAAACGTTTACTTGTTTATTTAATTGGATTAATTCTATTATATTTTATATTATTTTTTATTTTATATCTTTAATAAAGAATCTTGTAACTTCTTAATCTTTTGGCCCGCAAGTTGGCTTATTGTTGGATTGTTTGATTTTAATTTATACACGGGCCTTATCTTAATTTCATATTATTTGCATTATTATTATTGGATTTTATTTTTATTATTGAATTTACCTCGTAAAAAGCGATTCCCGCACCTAGCCACGTTTCTGCCGTCGGTGAAGTCTGGCATGCGTTGAGGAAAACTTTTAACGCGCGCTCGTAATTGCCAATATCTTTGTAATACAGTCCCATTCTATCGACATTGTGTAATGCTGTCATTAATAACTCGTCTTCTCTTTCAATCATCTTACGTAATGCAACGAGACAAACATTTTTACCTCGTTTGTACGAGATGCAAATCGTCCGGTCGATTATACATCGCGTTAGAAAATTCGTAGCAGCGAATAGCTTCTACAAAATCGCACTTTTCAAAATAACAATGTCCCATTAAGCCGCTGATCGAGTAATCCTAAAAATATTTTTGAAATTTAAATATTTGTATTATTCACGAGTTACATCAATTTTATATATTATAATTAATTAATTTTCTATATATTTATAGTTATCTACAGTATTATTTTGCATTTATATAGTGTGTATGTGGGTGTGTGTGTGTGCGCACGCGCGCGTGTAGTAAAAATATTTTCAATATATTTATAAAATTTTTATTGCCGAAATATATTTTTTTATCATTTCTCTGTATTCCAATATATTATTAAAAAATTGATATTGATATATTTGAACTCTAATAATTTACTGCATTGATCAATATTACTCGACATAAGTTCTTTTATGTTATAAGTATTTATGGAGCAAATTATACAATAACATCAATAATAGAAAAGAAATCAAGAATAACCAACGCATATTCGTCAATCTATGATTGCTATACAAGCTAATAATAATTTATATTCGTTCTCTTATTCTTGTCTCTCGAAAAAATATAAGCAATAAATTATCAAATCTAACAAGTACCCGTGTCTAACATTGTAGACTAATTGTAAGCTTAAACGACTTGACTACGACGTAACTAGCAATTTTATTTGATTATTTCACAATATTTCACATATTGTGAAATAATCAAATAAAATTGCTAGTTACGTCGTAGTCAAGTCGTTTATTAAGCTTATTTTCACCACTAGCGACAAATATTAATTTTGATTGATATTAATTTTAATTGATTGTAGACTAATTTACTTTCAATTATATGCTACTGTTATTATTTATCATTAGACAATTATAAAACAACATATATATATATATATATATATATATATATATATATATAGCACTACAAATTATATATGTATATATATTTTATAATTTATTTTATATTTATTATTTGACAAGTTAAATCTCTCCGAATCATAATTTGCGCTTACATCTTAAAGACGAAATGCTGTAACTCTCTCACCACATCCCGTATGGTCGAAACGTTAAAATAAATATATATACAACTTTAATTTGAGGCCAGTGTAGTCAGACCAAATCTATAACTCTGTTTATAATTGTCTAATGATAAATTATAACAGTAGCATATATAATTGAGAGTAAATTAGTATATTATATATTATATATATATTATATATACCCAGCTAGCAAAATGATACAAACTTTGCACAAAGATTGCGGCAAACTCGAGCAGGCCTTTGTAGCAAAATTGCAACAAGGTGTGTCCGCATTAAGCTGAGCTTTTGCTGGCAAGGTTTGTCACAACAGCGTGACGCAAAATTCACGTAAATAACAGAGCAAGCTTTGCCGTGCGCGTCATGATAGCAAATTTGTGGCAAGAATAGGGCAAGGTTTGATCTGGCACTATAAGACGCAAAATTCACGCAAATAACAAAGCAAACCTTGCCGTGCACGATGTGATAGCAAATTTGTGGCAAGAACAGGGCAAAGTTTGCTCTGACACAATGAGACGCAAAATTCACGCAAATAACAAAGCAAACCTTGCTGTGCATGACTTTAATAGCAAATTATAGCAAGAACAAAGCAAAGGTTGTCGTAACAGTGCGGATTGTAATTAATATAATAATTTAATGAATTAATGAGCTCATTAAAAAGATTTTAATTAATAGTATATTAAGTTTTATATAAATAGATAAAAATAATTAAATTTTCTTTATATTTTATTATTATTATTAATATTAATAAAAAATATATAGAATTTTAATTATTTTTATATTTATTTATTTATATAAAATTTAATTAATGCTATTAAAGTCCTTCTAATGAGCTCATTATTTTATTATTAATTACAATCCGCACTGTTAAAACCTTTGCTCTGTTCTTGCTACAAATTTGCTTATATATTTGATTATATCAAATTTAATTAATACTATATATTAATCTCTCTAAATAGAGGGATAATACTTAAGCAATTTTTTTAAAGTTTCTATTATCAAAAATGTTTTATATTTATTTCCATATATTTATCTTCAAATTTTTATTTTTAAAAAATCGGATATCTATAATTTATAATCATATATATAAAGACATAAGCGTTTTATATGTATATATAGACCGCTATTTAATTAGTATATATATCACTGCTCAATCCTGAAAAACTCGATCAATCGGCGTCACGAAAGGAACTGACCGAAGCTACCTTTTCTTTCGCTATTATAATGATATTACATATATCGTACGACGAGTTTGTCGAACGTAGCAATTGGTTAACGAATAGAGAATTTCTAAAGTTTCTATCTAATATTCAATCGTTACGTCCGACCACCATCATTTTGTAGTATGAATGTAATATCGGCCTTAGACAATTGTGCTTTGCTTCACGCGTATTTAGACGGCGGGAAGATTGACACCATCTATTGCAGAATTATATAATGACCTTAAAGGTGCGTACAGACTTACAAGAGAACATCGTAACGTAAAACCGTCGCGTAACACCGACGAAATGCATGGACAATACCCCGTAACGCTTAAATGTTTGGTGCGAGGTACTGTCCATACATTGCGTCGATGTCACGCAACGGCGTTACGTTACGATGTTCTGTTGCAAGTCTGTACGCACCTTAATATAATCAACATAGTTAATTTAAAATCTTGAGCCTTAGAATTATTCGTAACATGTTTAGATTTTTAATCTCTTTTCAAATATAATAATTATAGACAAATATAAATATATTATCTATATAAATATAAATATACTGTCTGTAGATATATATTTGTCTATAATTATTATATTTGAAAAGAGATTAAAAATTTAAACATGACAAATGACTGTAGTATCAAGATTTTAAATTAACTATATATGTTAATTATATTAAAGCCATTATAATTCTGCAATAAATAGTATCAATTTTCCCGCCGCCTAAATACGCGTGAAGTAACGCATTATTGTCTAATAGCGAAAAAAAGATGTTCTGTCAGTTCATCTGCGACATCTGATTGATTGAGTTTTTCAGGCCTTAACGGTGATATATCTAATTATTGAATAACGGAAACGATTTTTATTTCTTGACGATGTTATTGGACGCTGAGCCAAGTTGAACACCATTAATTTCGTCTTGGGAGTTCTAACTAATAATAACAGCAACACCTGAAATATACAATATATACAATAGTACGAATATATCTAATACTATATTGTCCGTAAAAGAAACTTTATTGTCTGTCCGAAAAGAATCAGCAACGTTAAAGGAAGCAGCATTATCCAACTGTTTGTGCGTAACAGGATCTTGTGAAACATTTGAATGTAAAGTATTTTTAATTTCCAAAGTAATTCGCCTTCGTTGTCTCGCAGACAACCGGTGGAAAGATTTACGCGAAACAGAATATTTAACTGATTTCATACTTGCCTGAAAAATCTTCTAATCCTCTGCGATACCTTGCGGCACTTAGAACTTGGAAGCTCGTCTCAAAAATGTGGGAAGCTTCTAGAATTATAACCTCTGTGATAACCTTGCGGCACGTATGGTAGCACTCACGGTGGTTGAATTTAGAAGAACGCGGGAACAGTGCTGGAGGTTACAGGACAAAAATTCGCGCAAACGTAGTAGCGCGCATTAAAAGCGCGCAAACGTATGTGACACATGACTACGCCATGCACGGCAAGGTTTGCTCTGTTATTTGCGTAAATTTTGCGTCTCATCATGCCAGAACAAATCTTTGCTCTATTTTTGCCACAAATTTGCTATCACGCCATGCACAGCAAGGTTTGCTCTGTTATTTGCATGAATATTGCGTCTTATCGTATCAGAGTTAACTTTGCTCTATTTTTTTCGTAAATTGTTTGTTATACCGTGCATGGCAAGATTTGCTCTGTTTTTGTCACAAATTTGCTTTATATCGTGTATCACAAGATTTGCTATTATTGACGTAAAGTTTGTATTTCACCATGATACCATCATTTGCTCTCTTCTATAAGTAAAATTTACGAACAAACTTTTCTCTGTTAATTGCAGCATCATATAACGAAAAGTTTTGCCGTTAATTTGTTCGAAATATTTAGACAAGACGAAGCAAGGCAAATGTTTGCCAGAAAATTGTTGTTAAAATTAAAGCAAACTTTGCCGAAAAGCTTTAACGAAACGTGATTTTATCACTCTTGGCTAGCTGGGTATATATACACTATTTTTATATATATTTATATATAAATAATATATCCACATATGTGCATAAGCATATATAAAATTTACAAAAATGGGTGCTTATTAGTCTTGCTACGTTACTGCTTTCTGCTACGGAAGGCCAGAAAGCATTTTAGGTGGCATCTCGCGTATACCGGCACGGTAGAGGAACAAGAGAACACGTGATTATCGGTTCTTGTTTCTCTTACGTGCGTCCGCGTGAGCGATGCAGTGGTGTATGTACGTGTACAGACATACACCACTACATAAAACCCGAGAATTGGTTTCTCGGCGTTGGCAACACTGAAACCGGAGTTATTATGATATTCTAAAAAAATTGTCTACGTCATCTTAAAAATTGGGTATATATACAGCGCGCCGACATTGTAAGATACAGACATCGATTTGTTTTTTAAAAAGTACACATTGTGATTATGTTAAGTAAAAAGAAATAATTTTTTAAAAAAAGTGTTATGTTCGTTGACAAAAAAGTAAGTTAATACTATTTATTAAAAATCTAAAGGTAATATTTGAGCGGATATATTAATTTGTTCACAGTGTCGTTATATACATAATATAACAGCATCTGACGCTCTAACTCATGCCAACAAACATGAATTTGTACTGCGTTCGTCATATAATCTTATAATTGTTGTATTTATTTATGATGTCGAAATGACTAAATTAATTTTTTAACATATTATTAGGATATTGAGAAAGACTGTCGTACAGTCGAAACGTTTATCGTAACTTTTGTATAGTATGACGTAAATTAATAAATAAAATTTTTCAATTAATAGCATATAAGCTCGTTAAGTTGGCCTTTTATTATATCACATATTTTAATTGTATTAGCCGAAGTTTAATTTATAAAATATATATATATATTTTTTATATTTAATAAATTTATATATATATATATGCATATGTAAAATATTCTCTCTCTCTCTCTCTCTCTCTCTCTCTCTCTCTCTCTCTCTCTCTCTCTCTCTCTCACACACACACACACACACAACGGGGGCCAAATCTCTCAAATTGGTCTCATGATCAATTAGCCTGGATTCGCACCAGGGGCTAAGTCTGTTGGTAATGTGAAACGAATTTAGCCTGGACTTGCACCAGGGGCAAAGTCTTTTGGTCGAGTCTACGAAATTTAGCACGGACTCGAACCAGGGGCAAAGTCTTTTGGTTCAAGTCTACGAAATTTAGCACGGACTCGAACCAGGGGCAAAGTGTGTCGGTAAGGGGCAAAGTCTATCGCACGAAGATGGCGGTCTCTTCTTTAGGCAGGCCTTTGGCGATCTGTCTATTAATCTGTGACATAACTGGCAGAAAATTACCTGACTATATATCGTATCATATTTCATGCTTGAATTTTCAATCCGTCAACCGATCTCGCAACGAATTTCGGAGCGGTGATTTTATGTTTAACGAGAAGCGAAACACAAGAGGGTAAATATTTTCTTCCTTTGGAATATTCGCATAATGACGCTTCTCTCTAGTCAATTTTGAGTTAAGAAGCTGCATTAATTCGCGATTGTTTTTTTGCCGGTGGTTAAATTTCTAATCGGAGTGAACTTCGGAATCCGAAGTTTGACAATGACTCGTAACCACACAACTAACATTCATCATGGATGAGTGAGTGATAAAAAAAAGAAATACACGAAACATTGCAATTTCCGCAACTCATCGATTGTGTCTCTATATTATTGTCATCGATAGGAGAATATATCTTTGGTTTTTTAATTGTCAAGCACTATCCTTTTGTGGATTGACAGCATAGGTTATCATGTAATGTCAATGTTGATGATGAAAATCATCAATTCTCTCACATTGCTACATTTCATTGTTTGCACATTTTATCAGCTTATTGCATACAAACTGTAACATTTGAGTGTATATTCGCGTTTTGTTGAATATTCATTATGATATAAAAGGTTTTTTTTTTTTTGTGAAAATGACAAAACACCTTCGCTGTGCTTTATATTACTTTAGTCTTTGTGTGACAGTCTTTTTATATAATAAAAATTTATTTTATATGCAGTTATAATGTCGACAACGCACAGTCCAACACATTTTAATGGAGAGATAGACAGCTTTTACGATCCAAACTTTGATATTAATAAGCAGATGCAAGTTCCCAAAAGCATTCGTGTAAACGGGGATTATATGGATAAGGATATCGCTGTTACAAATACATCGACGTGGAATCAAATGTCTACTATGGATAAATTCGATATGCAAGTGCCAGATAGGATTCTTGTTGTTGGTGAGATTCTACATTAAATGATTGTATTTAACATTTATTACAAGAATATTTTACAATTTTGCTTTACCTATTTATAACAATCTTTAGTAATAATCTAAAAATCTATTATAGGAGAAGGACAGCATTTTGGTACCAAGGCGCCACCACCAGAAATTGTTTTAGAAAATGCTGTAATGCGTACCGAACCTGCTATAGTCAGAGTACAGGTAACACATCGAAAAAATTTTGTGGAATGACAACATTAATTGTCATTAAATATTTTCTTTCACCGACAGACTCCTCCAAGAGTTTTGACTTTAGACAATCACTACTTCCCAGCAGTAGATGAAGACGAGCCTATACCAAATGCCAATGAAATTGTAAATCCGGTGATTACAAGACCCAAGACATATAATACAGAAACACAGATAGTGAAACATGTCAGGTACAAAACTTACATTAGAGAGAAAGTTTGTTAAATATTTTCTTTTTTACGTTATGTGTTTTTATTACGCAGAGAACAAACGCCCGCTTACAATGCTCTCGACGTTTCTCTACCTCCCAGTGAAGAAGTTCAACACTTACGTCGTCAAGTAGGTAAATTGAACCGCAGGGTGATGGCGCTCGAATTAGACATGCTGCAGCGTCAGCAGAGAGATAAGATTTTGTATATTGCAACTATAGCGTACTTTATTTTGAAAACCTTTTCTTGGTTAACCAGAAACTGAGTTTTTGATCGAAAAAGAGAAAGGAAAGGAAGATTACAAACACGTTTGTTTTGCTAAAAGAGGCATGTTTTTAACCCAGAATGTTGAATCACTTGCTCTAAGAAAGTATAACCAAAGACTTTTTATCACAGTCTTGTAAGATTAATCTTCAAAATTGAGATAAACGACACAATACGGATAGATATGCGCGAGTTTCTATAACGCAAGACACATTAGACGGACAGATGACACATGAAATACATTGAAAATATGATAATTTATTGTCTTTGCTGTATTAAAAGTATGCTGGGCTTCAAACGGATGTATGTATTGTATTAGGTTTGACAATATATAATATATATGTATGTTATTAATGTATATACAGTGATTTGCGAAACTTTAACAAATTGAGTTCATTTTCATATAATTGTAAATGTAGGAAATTTAGCATGAGTTCATAGTAGTATGATCAATTGTAGTATGAATTCATGCGAGCATGCATCAATCTGTTTCCTTTCTCAGTATTAACGAAAACAATGTTTAGGAAACATTTTAGGAAGAATTTATTTTTGTGTGCGATATGAAAATGATCTATGCTTATCCGGAGCATCTTATCTGAATTGATGATTTACTTCAATAATATAGAATTACGTTTTTCTCTGTGGCCATAGCACTTAGAATTGTAATCTTGTCCAACATATATATTGCGATTAATAAAAAATCAACAAAGTTATATTATTGCAAACATATTTTACAATATTAAGAATGTATTGTATAAAAGTAATTAGGAAATACTAATTCTAACTTTAATATACGAGTACTATTCCTAGCAGGGAAATACTTTGTGATATATAACTTTCTCTCGAAATCTGTCTTGTTATTCAGATTATATTTCCTGGTTATAATAAAAATGTGTATTATTATAATTTACAAAATACAATTTCAATTATATATCAATTTTTTTTCATTCGCATCCCCCCAAAAAAAAAAGTTATGTAAGAAATAATTTTCTGATCAGCGTATGCAAAGTTTGGCGCATGCGCACTGCATCAATGTGCATTCGCCTTAATACGGAGATCCAATTGTGAGACGAGCTTTAGTAAAAATCTGTTCTTTTTTCCGCATCCAGCTTTGGCGTTTGACAGAAAACGGGCGTTGGATGTACGTACGGACGAGTCGAGGAACTCCGAAGAGTGCGGAGAAAGGAAGCTAAAGGGAACGGGCGAGCTTCGCTCGGAAATCGCGGCGACGAAAGCCGGATAAGGCGGGATAGAGGCCGATAAAAAGCCTCGAGGTTTAGTGACATTGGTCCGAAGTCGAAAGGATTGGCGCACCTGCGAATGCGGGAGGTCAGTGTACGTCACCGTAGTTATTGCTCCGAGCCGTGGAACCCGAGTTCGCGAGCCCGTGGTAGCGTCACTCGAAGCGGCCCGTGAATATCGTTCCCGGACGAGTCTCGGCGAGAGCGGGCCGAGGACATTTGGTGTGCGCGGCTCTCAGGCTCCTCGCTTCACAGGGCGCCGCGCCGGACGGGCGGCCACGTCGGGGGCGCGCGCGCGCGCGCGGACGACAGCGGGAATCGCCAGCGACGAGGACGACGACGACGACGACCAAGAGTGTTCCTTAGCCGTTGTGCGACCGAAAGTGTTTCGCGAAGTGCGTTCATCGGCTAGTCTCGGCGTGACTCGGCAGTAGAGCAGACGAGGGTGGAGGTGGCGACCTGGATGTAATCGCGATCCCCGGCAGCCGGTGCTCATCAACGGACAACTTTCGACCGACCGCCTAGAATCTATCCTGTAACACAACCTAGCTCGATCTCTCTCTCTCTCTCTCTCTCTCTCTCTCTTTCTTTCTCTCTCGCTCACTCGCTCGCTCGCTCGCTCTTTCGTTCTCTTTCTCTCTCGACACGGGCGCCGCCGCCGCCGTCGTTGTTCGACGCCGCCCCCGCTGACGACGACGAAGACGACGACGACGACGACGACGACGACGACGACGACACAGCCGCGCGAGTCGCAGGTTATGTCAAGCGGATTGGCAGGCGCTGTCTCAAACCAGGTCAGTGTGTTGTGTTGACGACGTGACGCTACGCGACGCGACACCTTCTCTTTCCTCTCGTGCCTGCCCTCCCGCCCCCCGTACTACTGTCACATCTTCGTCGTGGGTCGGCTCTTCTCTAAATTTTGTATGTTTTTTCATGCAACGGCATGCAGCGGATGAAAGGACAAACCGGCAACCAAGGTGAGTTCGACCTCTCGAGTCTCTATTTCAAATTTTCTAAAACTGTAGATCGACTCCTACAGCTAGACTCTAGACATCTCCTGGAAGAGAAGGCTTTCTGCTTCGATGAGACCAGTCAAAAGTTTTACTCTTCTTTTGTCAGAACAACCAGTTACTTTATTGTTTGGATACTCTTGCGGAAATGTTCATATACATTGAATGTAAAGTTTCCAATCGTCCAAAGAGTCTAAGACGTTGAAGTTGATGGAATATTCACAAGTTTTTTATAGAAATAATCTACATGATTTATCGTTGAAATCAATTCACATAGCTACAGTTATTCTGTTATATACTCTTAGGTCTTGTTAATTTGCCACTTGAGCAAAGATAACGGGAAAAAACTGTAGATTTATCTTCTTCCATCATTCATACCTTGATATATTACTTAAGCTTGTTTGAAAATTGTTGATACGATAATGAAGAATTGAAAATTGAATACATTTGTACTGCGCAGCTCTCTGAACGCAAAGTTAAAGGTGTTTTTGTTTCGACCGCAGTGAGCAATGGTCCTAAGGAACACCAGCAGCAACAACAGACGGAGCATGCCGCTGGCGAGGACACCGGCTTCGATTCGTGGCGAGGAGGCAACAATGCTCAGCATCATTCGAGTTACCCGATCGGGACCGGTGATCCGTACAGCCAGTACTACGGCACTTCGTTCCCTTATCAGACCTTCGGTGCCGGCGACGGGACATGGTCGAACGGCACCGACCCGGTCGCCTTTCTCTCGGGTTACGGCGGTCAAATAGGCCACGATGCTTACGGCGCGATGGACGGCATGTTCTCGGCCTCGGCGGCCGGGGGCGGCTTCAGCGCGTTCGGCCAACCGCCGTTCAACTACTTCCACGGCAACGGCGACTTCAGCGCGTGGGGCACCCCGAGAAGGACCAAGTACGAGGATTACTATCAACCGCCGCGCGGCAACGAGAGCTATGCCAATCCCGCGGCGAGCGGCACCGGCGAGATCAAGAGCCTCGAGCAAGGCGTGCAGGGTCTGTCGATCGGCGGCGGCGGAGAGCTACCGCGACAGGATCAGCAGCATCCTCAGCAGCAGAGTACGGCCCAGCAGATTAAGCCCGAGCCCAAGGAACCTAGAAAGATTACGTGGGCAAGCGTGGCGAGTCAGCCGGCGAAGCCGGTCCCGCCGCTCTCGTCTACGCAGGGAATGAAGAAGAAAGCGGGCATGCCTCCACCGCCGATCGTGCCGGGCAAACATAACATGGACATCGGGACGTGGGGCGAGGGCAAGTCTTCCGCGCCACCGCCGCCTACGGCGCCACCGCCACCCCAGGTGCAGCCGCCGATTCCACCCCCGCCGCCTCCCGTTCAGAGGCAACAGCGACCGCAACAACAGCAGCAGCAGCAACAACAGCAGCAGCAACCGCCTCAGCCTTGCTGGAACAGGCAGCCATCCACGGGGGCGACAGCGACCCCACCGCTTTCTCAAACGCAGATCCATATGCCGCCGCAGTCGCAACAGCAGCAGCAACATCAACAGCAGCAGCAGCATCATCACCATCATCACCATCATCACCATCATCAACAGCAGCAGCAACAACAAGCGCATCAGCAGTCACAGCAGCAGCAGCATCAACAGCAGCAACAGCAACTTTCCCAGGCCAACCCGTCGCATCCGGTTCTCGATGAACTGAAAGTGAAGAATGATTATAATCCCATAGAGTTTGATCAGACCGCGCCCGGTGCCAGGTTTTTCGTGATCAAGTCTTACTCGGAGGACGACATACACCGGTCCATCAAGTATGAAATCTGGTGCAGCACGGAACACGGCAACAAACGACTGGATCAGGCTTATCGAGAAGCGAGTCGCGAGGGTGCGCCTCTTTATCTGTTCTTCTCCGTTAACGGGTCCGGCCACTTTTGCGGCATGGCGCAGATGGTATCTCCCGTCGATTATCAGTGCAACAGTAGTGTCTGGTCGCAGGACAAGTGGAAGGGTCAGTTTCGCGTCCGTTGGATATACGTGAAGGATGTTCCTAACGTGCAACTGCGACACATTAAGCTCGAGAACAATGAGAACAAGCCGGTGACCAATTCGCGGGACGCGCAGGAGGTCCCGCACGCGAAGGGCGTCACGGTGCTGCGTATCCTGCATACCTATCGTCACTCTACGAGCATCTTTGACGATTTCGGGCATTACGAGCGCCGCCAGGCCGAGGAGGATCAACGCAAGACCCCGAGCAACCCCGTACCGCATCATCATTCATCCTCCAATCACAGAAACAGAGGGCACGCCCCAGACATGTCCAGAGATCACCATCAGCACGGTCATCAGTCTCACCTGCATCAGCGCAAGGTAGACATCTACCGAGTTTTATTTGAAACCTACTACTATTGTCGCGATAACGAGATGATTTCTCCCAACAAAATTGCTATCGACGATAATCGCTGTTTGGTGATTGTCTAATTTGAATTTTGTCGTTTCGTTTTAGGAGCGCGGCCGTAGTGGCAGAGGAGGTTCGCGCCAGTAGCGCCGGATATCGCGGAAACGTATTGCCGTTACTAACGAGAGTAATCGACGTAAAAGAAGCACGCTGCGACTAATTATCACATCCTACCACTTGTCTTTGCTTTCCCGGATCCACGATAGGCTTCGTCTGATTTCCCGTGACCGAACAACACTCGTCGTCGTCGTCGTCGTCATCGTCGACATCGACATCGTCGGCTACGTTGTTCTTTCGTTTAAATCCGATTAATCCGGTAATAATGAGATAACATTAGCGTCGCGTCGGCATCATCGTAAAATAATATGTAACCGCAATTATTATGACAATGAGAGAGAAAAAGCAGCAGGAGAAGGAGAGGAGAAGGAGGAAGATAATACACTATTTCGAAGGATATTTGGCTAAACTCACCGACGATCGCAATGCGTATAGTGTGGTGTTGCGTGCTATTCATCGAAAGGTGTTTCTTAAACGTACAAATCATGCAATGGAACAGAAGACGAGGGGGGGGGAGAGAGGGGAAGAAACAAGACGCGCGATCTATAGAAGAAAAAGAAAAAAAAGATAAAAAATAAGAAACTGTAATATGTGGACTAATCCTTGTAAAATGCTTACACTTTTGTTGAAAATGAAAAAAATCTATTCACAAGAACTACTATATTATATAAACAAGTGTCATTTGGATTGGTTATCGTTTTAAACACCAATGAACATTTAATCTGGTGCCTGCAGCTATACGAGAAGGGTCGAATTCCCCCTTAATTGTTATAAAGGTGCAGGGGGCGGGAAGGGCTTGTTATTACAACGTTCTCAGTTGTATTTATATCCATCTTGCTTGACAAAATGAATTATACAGAAATTATTGGCGTTTATTTTAGCGCGTTTATTCTCTATATCTGTATATTGCGAGTATATCATCTATTATTATTATATTATTCACACATGGACTATACAGAGAAAGAAAGATGAGTTGAGATGATAATATAACGAAAAGTGAAATAATATTGCAATTAATCTATACTGTAATGTACACGATGATGACGATCATTATTATTATTATTATTATTGTACCATTTGATGACATTTCATGAGATATTCTTATTGTTAAACGCATTTGTTTTTTTTTTTTTTTTTTGCTTTCACGATACGTGACACATCCTTTGCGACAAAGAGGCAACGCGTTTATACGGAGCAATATTGAATAATATAGACAAACTTTTCGCGTAAAGTTTTTATGGGGAACAGAAATCTCTTCAGCGTTGTAATTTGTATGCACGCCCATCTCTTCCCCCCTCCTTTTTTGACATTTTATTGTTTTAAAATTTTAGATTTTGAACATTTATTCAATTTATTAAAATATAAAATAAAAACAAAAACAAGAAAATTTCTATCAATCTACTCCTAAAGACTTTAAAGTTATATTGACCATTACCTTTTAATGGCTTGAAAACCTTCGATCGCTTTCACTAGTTAATTCGTTTAAGAGTTCAATTGTAAAGTTTATCGATATTATTCAAAGTGCTCTGCATATAAGGTCATATTGAGGAACGAAAAAAAATCGCCGAGAAATTTATTAACTCCACATTAATCAGGAGATTCGCATTAGGCATCATTTCCGTATTAATTAGTCAAGTCGCTATCAGTTCTTAGCTAGTCATATTAGTTTCTTCGGTTGCGCACTTATTCGCTTCAATGTCATCTTCGATGATCTTTTCATTATCAGCAACGAGTTTGCACTCATCTTCCGTCTCTTGTATCTTTCTAGCTTCAGCGTCTACATCGTCCTGCAGCATACCTTGCTGTAGAAAGTAGTTGCGCAGATTCTCCCGAACCTCCTGGCAAAATTTGTCGCGATTCGCCTCGACGTAGCGATACACGAACAGATCGGCGCCGGTGATGATGAAGCGATGATTGAATACGTTGATCCGTGCGCCAACAAAGAAATCCTCCGGCGTGTAGTACTCCGGATCGTCCTTTCTCGTACTACACGGTTTTGGAATCAGCCTGAAGGATAGGAAGCAAGCCTCGTCCCGGCCGGAATTGCGCTTCTCTCTCTCGTTGATTCGGATGGCACCGTCGCTCAGTCTGTACTCCAGGACGAAATCGCGATCCTCGTCCTCTGGATGCACCGCATCCATCCGCATGGAATAGCGCAGTTTCTTCGGGAAGTTGATCAGTTGACGAATGATGTTCTTCCTGGGTGATCTCGGCACGAAGGACGGACAGCTGGTGTCTTCAGAGCTATCGAATTTTACATACGGCGACCCCTCGCACTTGACTGACGTAGGTTTCTCGATCTTCTCAGGAATGGCTTCCGCTTGCGGAATACCCAGGACGTCGGAGTAGTACTTTCGCGTGAAGGCATCGCAGTCATGCAGCAGGAAACATCGGCCATACAAGAGAATCGTTTCGCCTACCTGAGGATGATTAACGATATACTTTTAATCTCACTTTTGTTCTGAGAAATATTCGTGCGTTCTTTAGATTGTGTGTACAGAAATTGAAAATGTTATTCTTGATAGTATCTGTTTACATATACAAGGTATTGAAAATAACTTGATTTTCAATTTCAAAATTTATGCTTCCTAATTTATCTTGATATAATATTTTAACATAAAATTGTAATATATATTCTGATACTTTGAAACTAACTACAAGTTCGCTCACTTATTGAAACTGATCATTTTACATCTGAAACACCCTGTATATTTCATAAACGAGATATTATTTTGAATTGAAAAATGTAACGCGCTTGTCTTTAATTCAATAATTTCTTTAACTTTTTAACACTTTTTATTCTATTCGATTTGCTATTTAATTGGAGAACTTATATAGTGTCAGGAAGCAAAAGCAAACAATATAAAAAGTCTCACTTTAAAATCTTGCGGGGTATAATACTCTGTGATCTCGGGGTCTCCGTATTCCATGTAGATGCTAGGATGCCAGGACGGCAGACTTTGCCAGTTTTTGGGCACGCGGGTACGCTTGAGCAGCATCGCTACGGGATCCTTGCCGTCGTTGGGTTTGTGAATCTCGCGGATCGCTATAGTATCGTCCGTCAGAAAATACAGTATCCGATAAGGATCGTCGTTCCACATAGCGTCGAACGATAGCACCATGCCATCGAATTCCAAAAAACGTCGTCTAACATCGTCGCTTATCGTTTGCGTTGTCCTACCAGTCGTCCCATCGTACTTGATCTTGCGCTGCTCCGCGTAAGGATCCGCGGGCAGACTCTCCTTCTCGCCGACATCGATGCCTTGACTCGTCAAGAACTCCCTGGTGAACGGATCGCAATCGACGATATGATAGATTACACCGTAAATACCTATAAGAAAACACATACTTTATTCAAAATTCATGATATATTTTGATACAAAAGTTGTTAATTATTTACAAATAGATACTTTTTTTGATCAAGTTCTTGAATCTTGAGGAAATCTTGTAAGCATCTTCTCCGCTCGAAACAATATATAGGCGGAAGGAAAAAGAAGACAAAGAGTGTAATATTTAATTTTCAGCATATTACGTACACACGTTGATGCCGACGTTGAAGTCCTTCCAGATGAAGGGGTCTCCCTTGGCGTTCTTCGGGATCCTACCTCGCCTCACCAATTTACCCTGCTGGAAACCGGCATTGTCCACCACCGGCTCTATCACAGAGAGCGTGTCGTCCTCCAAGTAGTAAACGATATCCACGTGACGAACTCGATAGTGCTCGTCCGGGGAGTTGAAGACTCCCTGACGGAAGAAGGCCTTGAAACGGAGACACTTTTGCGCAAATAACGCATAATGGGGCATGAATTGCCGAAAAGCGTAACGAGGCGCTCGGCCATAAGTCAATGATGGATCATATCTATGTGATTAAAGATACAAAATTAATAATAAATGTAATATATGTAAAGAGAGAATAAGTTGAAGAATATAAATTCATATAATTGTAATCAAATAAACCGGTACATATATATAATGTTTAATACATACATACACACGCGCGTCTCTTTCTATATAAAATAATAATTACATATATATTTCTATAAATAAAGCAATATAATACATATGTGTATGGAATCAAGATTCAGATTACGAAATCATTTCAATTAATTTTAACTCTAATAATCTTATTCTAATTGTGTGTAATCTTATGAAATAAAATTAAAATTAATGATCGCAATGTGGGAGTGGTCTTGGAACGGAAAGGTTCGTGGTTACTTACTCAACTGGATCTGGACATTCGGCATATCGAACGGATGCTGCGTCTGTCGGTCTTCTACCAAAGCCGTAATTTGTATCGCGTATTACAGGAAAGCCATTTAATATGTCGAGCTTGTGTGGCAATTTATAATCCTTGACCTTATAAAACGAGTGAAAAGTTCAAGTATACCCCCGATAGGGGATATATATCGTCGATTGAAGGTATATAAAAATTGATTACATCCACGTGTATTCTTCCAATTATATAATCTTGTGATGACGTTAAAAAAATATGTATATATAGAGAGAGAAAGAGGGGGTTTATTATTATTCAGACACTCACGCTAACATCTCGAAAGATGTATCCTGGTAAACGGGGCAAACTTGCCATGCCGATGCCAAAGTATCCAGTGATATATTAAAAATGTATCTTTTGCCGAGACATATTCGCGTGATTTCGAGATACTTGTTTAAACGCATCTCTATAACAACCGCGGGCTGTTTCCTTTCCATCGATTTTCAACCCTCGTATCGCCGCGCAGCCCGACCCCTGAGTTATTTATTTTATTTTATTTTTTTTCGTCAGGATTATTGGGACGCTTAAGCAAACTCGAAAAAAAGGAACGTATGACACGAAGAGTTATGGAGTTTCTGTTCGACCATATTTATTTGTTGAAGAGCTTTTTATTGACAACAGAGGAGTGCGGTATTTGGATGGCGATTTTCTGCGTCTAAAGCCGCGTCTGCTCGGCCGCGCGACGATCACAAACTAATTACTTCGCGGAAGATGGCCATGCAGCCGGCGGACAGGCAGCCGGCCATCGGCACGGTGATCAGCCACGCAAACGCGATATTGCGAAACAGCTTCCACGAGACTCCCTCGCCGCCCCGAGAGGCCCATCCCACGCATACCACCGATCCGACTTTGCAATGCGTCGTTGATACGGGTAGACCGATCTTACTTGCCATAAGGACCGTCATCGCGGCGCCCACCTGCAATCGTATTGCAATTTATAACAATTCCCAAAAGATACAATATTTGTGTTTCATAGTGTTAGCTTTAGGTGTGAATTCAACCAAAGTTTAAATAACTGGTGTTAATCGCCGATTAAATTCATTAGAGTTTGATTGAAGTATTCTTTTTCATGTCGATTGCTGAAACTTATTCTTGAATACTGTAGTTGTTTTCCCATCTGTGCATACTCAGAACGAGTGCAAAGTAATTACATTAATTATGAAAATATGGAAATATTAATTGAAGAAATATAAATGATCAATTCCGAGAGAATTGAACACAATATTTCGCCAAGAAAATCTTGTTGAATCTCCGAAAAATAACCGCGTATTCAATCACCTCTATGGTAAATCCAGTCATCGGGGTGATACGCGCCAAATCCTGGCCCAAGGTCCGTATCACTCTGCGCCCCCACACCCATAGTCCCGTGGAAATACCTAGGCCGCCGTACAAGAGTATAAGCATGGACGTTTCAGCCTCCTGCTTGGCCGAGCCTTCCGCATATACCGCCCAGAGCGCGATAAGCGGACCGATCGCGTTGCTGACGTCATTGCCGCCGTGGGCAAAGCTGCCGAACGCCGCGGTGAGTACCTGAAGAAAGGCAAACAACCGCGAAACCTCCGGCTGTTCCTCGTCCATACCGTTTGCCTGCGCGTTTTCCTCCGCCTCCACCTGAGAGACCATCAGCAACGGGCTTTCGCTGCTATTGCCGCGCAATTGCGGCGTTACCGCCAAAGTCGCGTTACCATTGCTACTGTCACCGCAAGGTGCTTCGGAGATCACCGACAGTGCCGTCGTTTCCTTCTTGTCTTGACAGGCGCCAAAGGTCGTCGTTGTCTCCTCGTTGTTACCGTTTGTCAGTAGTATCCTCCCTCTTTGCCACGGTACCACGAATACGTATACAATTATCGCAACAAATTTGCCTAGTAGCAACGCAGCTATCAAGCTACCCCACCACGGCATTCGATCCAACATTAATACTGAAAAATTAAAGATAAACAAGTATTATATTTTTTCTTTTCAAGTTTTATTTCTTTGAAAATACGCGAGTTTGGAATATGAGTGGGAATTAATTTCGCGAAAATACTCACGTTTAGGTCCGTCGAGTGCAATTGACATAATATTGATGGCAACGGTCAGACCGTATACCACGGGGAGAACATAAAGACCTTGCTCAAACGGCTCATGAGAGTGGAGTACGTATTTTCTCAGGATCCAGAAGATACTGAAGGACACGATTCCGCTGAGTATGGGACTAGCAAACCAGGACGCAGCTATATTAACGAGCGCCATCCATTTTACCTGTGTACAGTTTAACGTGATATAAAGTTGAGGTATGTCTATTCCTCATCGCTAGATTGCAACGCGTTGTAGCGCTACTAACCCCGGCAGTACCTCTGCACACAAGAGAAAATCCGACTGTAGCACCAACAATGGAATGCGTACCGGAAATTGGAAGTCGTAACGCGGTTGCCAGCAGTAGCCAGATACCAGAGCCGGCTAGACTGGACAACGCTCCTAGCATCAATTCCTTCTCGTGACCCTCGTACAATGAGACGTCCAGTATACCCTTTCGCATTGTATCAGAAACCTAGGAAAACAAAGTAAATGAAATTAAAATTAGTTTTTCTACATCTTACTTTTTTAACTCACACAATTTGTTTACTTGTGGAATCTACTTATCATATTTATAGATACTTGACATATCGCGACGCCCACCTTATATCCTATCAGTACAGCGCCGGCGATCTCGAAGAAGGTCGCCAAAACGCAAGCTTGGAATATCGTGAGAACCCCGGCACCGACGCTCGTTCCGAAGCTATTGGCGACATCGTTGGCGCCAATGCCAAACGCCAGGATAAACGCTACTATAAAACCGGCCACCACTATCCAGATTAAGCTCTCATCGTACGGTATACTCATTGTTTTTTTTTTCGTTTCTAGCTAACTTAAATCTATTCTGCTTGAGCCTTGCGTTGCACGTGTATGCAACAGCTATCTGCTTTATTATCCTTCTATTATTCTCGTCCGTCAAAAAATTAGTAGGCATAAATCATCGTCGTATCTTCTCTTTTCCTAAACTTCCATAACAATTAATTGCGGTTAATCGATTAAGAGCAACCTCGTAGTACAAGGAAGAGCCTTTTCTGATACAGAACGTTATATCAATACTGTATGTGTAAACGCTTATTCATCAGAATATATTCTTTCTATATACACTTGTGAATGAATGTATATATATATATACATATATATTCTTTCATAATATAATATAATGCATCTATATTTTCATTGTAGTCCTAATACGATCAATTCTTCAATAGTTTTGTACATGTAGCAGAGGTAGTATTTTGGCGCAGCACCTGATTTAATTTCTAACATTGTGATGTAAAATTTCGTCACAGGTCGTCGATGCACAACTGTGTCGAGTTAATTAAACCCGAAGAATCGGGGGATGATTAATTATTCACCCACTATCCTCGTTACGATCGTTGCGTACTCTTCCTTGAAATCGAGATTATGACGTACGATCTTTGAGTTTTTTTCTTCTATCAACTCCTCTGACAGCGCTTTCCTCGTGTGGAAACACGCCGGTTGCTGTATTTCCCGCATCTGCAATAAATGTATAAAACCATTTTATTTTTCGACTTGCTCTGGTATAAAGTATCTTACATATAATATACATTTTTTATTAACGTTACACATGTATTCTTCACTTTTAGATCTCTTATGACTATGTATTTCAAAAATGTTTAACTAAATAATCGGCGCTTTTCATAATGAAACAGAATTTTTTCAGAAAAATATAAATGAAATATATTTTGGAAAAAAAAGAATAAAATATATTTTATTTTTTCTAGAAAATTGATTGATAAAAAATAAATAGAAGCACCTGTTCAATTAGAAAATATATTTTGTGATTAAAAGAATTAAAAAAGGATTATCATAATTTGTCATGTAAACTATTTTCTAATAAATTAGACTATTATAAAATATGATAAAATAAACCATATATATAAAATAAAAGCCAAATGTTTGTTATTACATTCTAGAACAAAGTCGGAATAAAATTTAATTATTAAAAAACTGTCTTTTATCTAACTTTAATTTGAAACTTGTTCAATTGAGAAAAGGATAGAGAGAGAGAGAAAGAGAGAAAAAATTCGATAATGGAAATATAAAATTGAGATTCTTTCGAAGAACGAGCCGCGATACCTCCTTCCAAATTGCCGGTTGAATGCAGTATTGCACTCACGAACGAATAATCCGATCGTTACACTCCTACTGATTTTTCTCCTTCCCTCTCTCTCCCCTTCGCGAGATTCTAATGAAGCCGTTCTTGCGTCATCCCAAATTATTACGACACATTTTCTTTTCAATATAATCCTCGACGCGCAACCCCTGAGTCATCCGCCGCATAATTCGATCTTCGAAACATATAGCGATGAGAAAATGGATAGCGTAGCGTCACAGTTTCGCCTCCAAGTAGAAAAGCAATTTTTTCTCAATTTCTGATACCAAGAGAGATGCCACCCTCGAAAATTTCGCGGGTCGAAAAATTGGCCGAATATGAGAACTTTTACGATTCCCATGTTGCAATACATTATCCAGCGATTATATTAAACGAATTTTTTCGATCAAAATGGGAAAATATGTCACAAAAGAGTCGCTAATCATCTTTTCCCTGGATTTATTCGCGTTCCGATCAACCATTGCGGAACAGAACGATGGTAAAAATCGTTGATTGAACTCTCGAGCCATTTTTTTCTCATGGAAAGGAATCGCCGATTCGAGCCTGATGTGTATTAAGGAGATTCCAATTACCACGCTCCGAATCATTTTTCGTGCTGGCCAACGCGTGCTGTGTCCTTCAGCACGTTGCGGGCATAACGTCGATAATCACGCGACCGGGTGGTCATCCGGGCAAGGAATGAGAGAGCACGCACCGCGTTCGAGAGACACTCGCGTCTTTTTCGGAGAGATCCGCCGGCGAATCACTAGCAAAAGCAGAAGCAACAGCAAGAGTACAGCAGCGTAGAGACGATCCGAAACCGCTCGGCGTTCTTGTAACTTTGACGGCCGCTCGTCGTTCGCTCGCTCTCGTCTAGCCGCTCGGTCGTCCGCGTGGGGGTGAAATATTGATCCGTCAATTTACCCGCGAAATGCGTGCCGCCACGCGCCACGATGAGTGTGCCACAGGGGATGATGATGCGGCTCAATGACGATCAATAGACGATCCCAGTCTTGGCGCGGCGCCGGCCAGGCTCTCATCCTGTTTATTCTCTCCCTCAATATCCGGTCCGGCAAAATTCGTCCCGCTGGATGCTGAGGAACAAATCGAGCTTAGATTATTATAGTTTTACAATGTCGATTTAGAAATTGCAAAAAGTTTAAATTCGAAACTTATAACATTGAAATTACCTTAAAAAGAGGATGCACTTGGTTTTTTAACCCAAAGGCGAAGAAAAGAGAAAACTGACAAGATATAATCGTCAAAAGTAATTGTTATTGTGACCTTGCAATTTCATACATGTAAAAATGAATATGTAGAAATTGAAATTCAAAAAATTGTTTTTATATAAATATATATGCAGTTTTAAAAATATTAGTATTTTTTATATTTGAAATTACCATGAGAGAATAAAATTTCAATACAAAAATTCAATTGTGTAAATTGCTGTTTTAAGAGCCTGTTCAGATATAAAAAAAGATTGTATTTTTTTTATAAAAGATTGCTTCTTTCGCTTATGATTAAATATAAATATATTATATAATAATATAATTCTGCGATATTTATTACGTCGCATTTTCCATTCTCCTTTGCATGAACATGTCAGGGAAAATGTGCTAATAAAACACATTAGTCATTATTATTATCATTTAATTATCGTAAATACAAACTCACTTAAATGATTGATAATTTATATTATTACATAATGAATGCTAACTGAACTGTGAATGAATGCAACAATCGACTTTCGATTATACTGTATATATCTTATCATCGAGTTTGAGTTCATTTAATAATTCTTATGTAACAAATTATCAATTATTAAGCGAACATGCGAATATTATGATAATTAAACACTAATAATGAAGTTAATGTTTTACTAATGTGACTATATCTCTAGAACAATTCTTTTACTAATGTTTTACTAATGTGACTATATCTCTAGAACAATTCTTTTACAATCATTATCGATGAGTCACTTGGAAGCAGTCGTTTAGGAAATAAGACGGATGTTCCGATGCAAGAATGCAGGATATTGCTTCAAGAGCGACAAGGAAAACCGCCGTTTATTTAAAAAATGGCCGTTTTTCTCATGAGGAGAGAGAGAAGCGAATATAATTTATTTAATATCTATTTATCTTAAATATATATATGTACAGACCAGAACTCTTCATCGCACAAAGTGTGTATTAGAGAATGTAAATTTTTGTTACATTTACTATAACAACTCCTGCTGCATATTACGACGAATCCCACTTTTCTCTCTCCTCTCGCTCTTTCTGGACCTCTGCAATGTAGGGCTGGAGATACAGAACATCCTGCAAAAATATTTTTTTCTTAGCCATGCAAACTTTGGTAAATGTTCTCTATGGCAGATCTGTCTGATCAATGTTCATGTACCTCTTCATATTTAGTCCACTGCTCCTTAGGCAGGATTCTTTTGTTGGCATCTAATTGCATGGCTCTGATTATACGAAAGTTACGTTCATCTTTAATTTGCTGAGGAAGGCGCCTCAATGCTTCTATTACATCTGCATTCTCGTGCAAACAATCGTCCCTCCACAATCCTAAACAAAACACAATTCATTCTTTGTTCTAAAATTATGATAATTGTTATGCTATTAAAATGTTACTTATATGTATATTATTATTTGTCGATGCCAATATTTTTATATAAAAAAACTTGAGTATATGCAATCAACATGATATATTTGACGTACAATGATATATAGTTCAAGAGATGACTATAAACACTGTTTGAAACATACTAAACACTTGTGTATGTAAAAATTCAACAAAGTGACTTGATGAAAATTATATATGTGAAGAATTTTAATAAAACTTTGACATAAATCTATCATTACCATATTGATTAAATCCACTGAAGTTATAGCACCACTTCCTAAAACTGGTGGCTGAAAACAAGTAATACGTTGCGTAAGCATCTGTATCTCGATATCGCGGGATCCAGAAATAAAATCATATCGAATTCATCAAAATAGACTTTGAAATTGTCTACTTACTGATCAATCGATTACTCATTTTGGAGACGCAAAGTTTTTAAACGATCACGTAATAAGAAATTACTTTGCTCGATTTGCCCAGAGTTAAAATGGCGGAGCCTACTTGATTGTCATTACATATATAAACCTTTGACAAATTTCATCAAGCTTGTCCAAGATGCCGATTGGCTGCTTCTCCTAAAAACTTTTGTGGATTCTAGGGATTTTCCATCCGACAGCCAATTGGGATGAAGTTGTTCCAACTCATCAGCCAATCGCGGCGTCGGGTCTAGGTACTTTCGAGTTTCCGGACGCCCGTTTTACATACGTCGTATGTCGCAGTCGGATGTCAAACGTAAGGTCTGGGAGTCGATTGTGTAATTTTTTCTAAAGTAAAAATGTGAAAATTTTCTTCCAATCACACATCGATATCATTTTAAAATCAATGCGTGATTGGCGGAAATTTTTCACTTTCGAAAATGTTACACAATCGACCCCCTGGGTCTACAATAAAGGACCTTCTACAATGGAGTGTCGTAAACTGTAGTCGTAAGAAATTGACAAACTATTGTAGAAGGCCCTTAAGTCGTATGTCGCAGTCGGATGTCGAACGTAAGCGATTGTCCAATGCGGAAATTTTGTTTTCGAAGAAGAAATTTTCTCATTGGTATTGTAGAACCGACCCTAGAGGGAAGATTGGCGAAACGCGAATGTCCCTAGGCTTAGATGTCGCTGTGGGATTCGGAAAGGACTACTTTGCCGGAAGTGGCCGACGACGGTTGCACGGCCAAGTATATAAACAGGCGCAGGAAGTTCGGAGACTGTCCGCGACGCTCTTCTGCCTCAGTAAGAGTAGAGTTGTGTTCACGTGTGGTTGTGTGTCTCCTTTTTTTTCGCCGAAATAGGCCACACAACCTACGTTCATTCGTGAAACTAACTCTTCTAGAAAAACCCAAAAAAAAAGCAAAAAAGTCTCCGAAAAAAACGCATACAAAAAAATCGCAAAACCGTAGGCGAAAACCGTCGTAACCCTGGCAGTGTGCGAGTGACGGGACGCGACGCGACACGAGAACACGAGAGAGCAAGGAAGACGACGAGAGGACCTCGTGCACGAAGGGAGAGGACGACGAGCCATATTGCGAGCGAGAAAAGCTTCGGAAGACGAAAGAGGGAGCGAGAAGTGAAATCTCAGCGCGTCGAAGTGCAAAAGGGATCCATCCATATTGGTATCTTCTCTCTCTCTCTCTTTCCCTTTCTCCCTCCCTCTCTGTCTCTCTCTCAGTCTCCGTAGTGAAGACTCGAAGCACGATACTCTGCAGCCGCCAGCATCATGAATCCCGGAGCGCCCAACTACCCGATGGCCTCGCTCTACGTGGGCGACTTGCATACCGACATCACCGAGGCGATGCTCTTCGAGAAGTTCTCGTCGGCGGGTCCCGTATTGTCGATACGCGTATGCCGAGACATGATCACTCGTCGCTCGCTCGGCTACGCATATGTCAACTTTCAACAACCGGCTGACGGTGAGTCATCGCATTGCCATTTATCGTATCTACGCTGTTAGCTGCTGCGTGCGTGCTGCGTGTCATCGCGAATCTATGACGCAACGTGTCGCGCGCGCGCGCGCAAATGGCGACCGCCTGCTCCGCTGCATGTGGCCCGAGCACACGTGCCCTGCATCGGCGACGTGTCGACGCCATCTTGCTTTCGCGAGTTCTTCTGGTCGTAGTAGTTGCGGAAGCTTCCCGATGCCACTTCACGTTACTTGACCGTTAAACCGCGACGGGGAGAGAAAAGTGGGGAGGGTGTTTTTTCTCCCCCTCCTTTTTTCTTTTTTTTTTTTTTTTTTTTTTATTAAATTTTGTTTTCTTTGTCGAGTACACGCGTCGTGGCGGAAGTCGAAGGACGAATTTCCGCACGCGGCGCCCCGCGCTTTTCGCACGTTTCACGACGCATGTGGCCTAGAAACGAAGATTTAGAAAATTAATTGCAGCGACGCACGCGAAGGAATTCTTGCGTATCTCGAGTTTCTAGCGTTTTCTTTGTTTCGAACCGAAGAGTTCATTTTTTTCGTTTACGTATATATCCTTGGGTTGACCTTGGAATTTGCTTCTCACGGTCATACAAAAATATATATCCGGGGGTAATTCGGCAAAGAAAGAATGTCGAAAATAATTCGTCCGTTTTTGAGATTTTCTACCTGAAAGAGTTCCAATAACAAAAAGACGGAAACTGACCCGACCCTAAATTCTTAGATTTTTTTTTCTATTGTTATATTTCTACCTTTTGGCTTAACCTTTATGTTCTACCTGCATACCTTGCATTTTAGCAAATAGCTGGAACAAAGGAAAATTTAGAGAATGCAATAAAAATGAATAATTCTCTATAGTTGTTACAGTTTAGCATTGTAAAAATATCGCAAAGATAAAAAACATGTCTCGTATTATATTTTTCAAGATTTATTTTTCTTATTTTTTCCGTAGAAATTTCAGTATTTCGATTATTTCAATAAAAAAAATAGAGAAAGTGCAAAATGTTTGATTTTTATCACACAGATGGAAATTCAAAACGGCAGATTTCGCTTTTTCTGGCTGTTTTGTTTGTAAAATTGATTTATATTTAGCTCGAATTTTATTGACTTCTTTTTTGTTATCATTTCGATACCTGTTATTTCAAATTTTTTTTATCATCACCTTAGAATGTCGAATATTCCCGACTCTCTTATCAGACAAGTGTTTACTTTGTCTCGAAATCAGTGGATGAAATCGTACAAAGGTCGATTTGATAATTTAATTTTATACAGTTAAAAAATTTTCCACGCTATAAAAAAATTTATTGAATTAGAATAAATATTTATATAAATACTGCCTAATAAATCATTTATTTAAAACCTACAATATTAATTTGATGTGAGAAATATTTATTAATTTAACAATTTTTTTCAATGCAGATATATTCTTTCTTTAGCCACGTGATCGCTCAAAAACTTGTATATACGCGCACATGAATTGATTTAGTAATAAGAAATAAATTTGGTTCACAAGATAAAAATTGTATTCTGTATTTGGCACCATTTATGTTTCAGCCGAACGCGCCCTGGATACTATGAACTTTGACATGATAAAGGGGCGGCCTATTCGAATCATGTGGTCCCAGCGTGATCCTTCTCTACGCAAATCGGGCGTCGGAAATGTATTCATAAAAAATCTAGACAAAAACATAGACAATAAAGCCATGTACGATACATTTTCCGCTTTCGGGAACATATTAAGTTGCAAAGTCGCGCAGGACGAGTCGGGCGCCTCTAAAGGATACGGTTTCGTCCATTTCGAGACCGAGGAGGCGGCCAACAAGTCTATTGACAAAGTCAACGGCATGTTGTTGAACGGCAAAAAGGTAGAGTATAGCTTTCTTGAGCTCTTTATCGCGAGATTGGATCGTGAGAAATTCGACAGAGTATTATATTAATTCCTTTTGTTTTTCCGAATATAGGTGTACGTCGGCAAGTTTATCCCACGCAAAGAACGCGAGAAGGAATTGGGCGAGAAGGCCAAGCTGTTCACAAATGTCTACGTGAAGAACTTCGGCGAGGACATGACGGACGACAAACTCAAAGAAATGTTCGAGAAATACGGGACCATTACCAGCCATAAAGTAATGAGCAAAGACGACGGCAAATCGCGCGGCTTTGGATTCGTCGCGTTCGAGGACCCGGACGCGGCCGAGGCGGCGGTGATCGAGCTGAACGGCAAGGAGATCTCCGAAGGCAAGTGTATGTACGTCGGCCGCGCCCAGAAGAAGGCTGAGCGTCAGCAGGAACTCAAGCGAAAGTTCGAGCAGCTCAAGATCGAGCGATTGAATCGCTACCAGGGCGTAAATCTCTACGTGAAGAATCTGGACGACACGATCGACGACGAGCGTCTGCGCAAGGAATTTACGCCGTTCGGCACCATCACGTCCGCCAAGGTGATGATGGAGGAGGGTCGCAGCAAAGGTTTCGGCTTCGTGTGCTTTTCGCAGCCCGAGGAGGCCACCAAGGCGGTCACCGAGATGAACGGGAGAATCGTCGGCTCGAAACCGCTCTACGTCGCTCTGGCGCAGCGGAAGGAGGACCGTAAAGCGCATCTCGCCTCTCAGTACATGCAACGCATGGCGAACGTGCGCATGCAACAAATGGGCCAGATATTCCAGCCTGGTAATGCCGGCAGTTACTTTGTTCCCACATTGCCGCAACCGCAGCGCTTTTACGGGCCCGCTCAGATGGCTCAAATTCGCGCCACACCGCGCTGGCCGGCGCAACCGAATCAAGTACGACCGAACGCGCAGACCGGAAACTCCGGATTCGCATCGATGCAAGCCGCACCTTTCCGAGCGGCGCCGCGCGCCCCTGCCGCACAGGCTGGCGCCTTGCGTAACAGCATGTCCGCCAGACCTATCACAGGTATGAAAAGACGCCAAAACTTGTGCTACAAAGCGCCCTTGATTCAGTTTTACGCTTAGGTTTTCGTCATTTTTACTTTTTTTGTTGGCTTTTTTTTTTGCATTTTTTCTAGACTCGTTTCATTGTACCAAATTTTATGCTTGTACTCATTTTACACAAAATTCGAAACACTTTACACTGCTTCGAATTCCAGTGAGACTGATTGTGAGAATTCTCATGTCTTAAAAAGCCTGAACGAATAGAAATTATTTTCTTGAATATATCTATTTTTTTAAACGTTAATATATATATATATAAATTGTTGACTAAATTTATTTTCTATTTGTATTTTTGTTGGAAATAGAAAGTAGTTTTATGAGAACATATTACAAAAAAGAAGATATATATATTTTTTATATTTTTTTATGTAATAAAAGAGTTTATTTGAATAATTTTATTATTTTTATTATAAATATTATACAATCTCTCTGTATGTGAGTCCATCATTGGATTTCCTATAATACTACTTCCATACCTATGCATAATCATTTTGAAATCCAACAAGTTTCAAAATTTTTATATAATTATTTTTCTCGATATAAATAAATAGATAAATAAAAGTTGAATAGCGACTAATTTCGAAAAAAATTTAATTATGCAACTTTGAAGAATATTTATGAAGAGAGAATAGATAAGATAAACATATAAAGAATCGTTAGCGTTCTCAACTGATGTGAATTTTGTATCATTTTAAACTAATTAATGATATAATTTTGTCGCGAATTCTAATTCATAAAAAGTACATAATTAGATATGGGTTAATCAAATATTTGGTCAAAATATTATATAAAACAAATGATAAATAATTTGGCAAATAATTCATATATATATAATTACATGTGAGAGAGCTGTATATAAACATTAATATATATTGCAACAATAATTGACCTTTAATATCAAAACATTTGAGACTTAACGTTCAAAATTTTCAAGATTTCCGTACGCAAAGCTATTCGAGACTTTCATAATATTATTACGAATAATGTAGCGAGAAAGAACTGTACGAAATAGAACCGTTAGAAGGAAATGCTCGAACGTATATACATTTCAAGTACCTTGTTTAGTGTTATCTGAAGTGTGTTTATAGTGCTGTAAATGAAACGGTTCATCGACTCTTTGTGTATCGGTGTAATGAGATATATCTTAAACGCATGTGACTCGAGGCTTTCACAGAACTCACTTTTTGATTGCAGTCTGTTTTTTTTTATGTCAATCATATTATTGCATAATTATTGAAAATGGTAAAGTCTTTTCAGGAAGAAAAATTGCTGGAAGATGACTCATTATTAGTTCAACATCTGATATTCGGCATTGAAACTTCTCTAGACATAGAAAATTATTATTATAAATTATAATATTGTTATAGTAATTTATATATTGAATTTTATTATCATAAGAGAAGATAAATTTGCGCACAACTGACAGTTTTTTCTTTCTTCAAGGTCAACAAGCAGTCGGCGGAGCCAACATGCAGAATCGTTCCATGGCAGGACCTGCCGTCGGGGTTTCGCCCGGTCAAAGCCGTCCTTCGAACTACAAGTACACCGCCAACATGCGCAACCCGCCGCAGACGGCTATGGCGTTACCTGCACCGAGTGGCCCTTCGGTGCAACAGGCTGTACACATTCAAGGCCAAGAACCGCTGACCGCGTCCATGTTGGCAGCGGCGCCTCCACAGGAGCAAAAGCAGATGCTGGGTGAACGATTGTTCCCGCTTATTCAATGCATGTATCCGTCGCTGACCGGCAAGATCACCGGAATGCTGTTGGAGATCGATAACAGCGAGCTGCTTCACATGCTGGAGCACAACGAATCCTTGAAAGCCAAGGTCGAAGAGGCAGTGGCTGTGTTACAGGCTCATCAAGCCAAGCAAGCTGTTGCACCGAAAAAAGAATAAGAGACCGTGCTTTGTGAGATTGGATCTTTTGTTTAAAAATGTTTAATTTTTTTTAATCTGCAATAACATTGATATGGAATTACATATGATAATCTCTCGTTTTTTATTTTTTCCGAGTTAACTTTATACATATATGTACATTCATATACGCGATTAAATTGCTATACTTATAATTGAATGTAAAATGTTTTCTTTCATCTATATAAAAATAAATTTTTCTTTTAAAATACATGTTCTTTTCTTTTTCTTTTTTTTCTTTCATTTTGATACGCTGATAGCGATAATCATTCCCGAGTTGCTGTCTTTTTCAAAGTAAATTTATTGCATTAAGTGTTTGAATGTAAATGTATTTAGAATTTCAAAGTTTGCGTCCACTTAAGAAAAAAGAAAAAAAGAGGTATTATCATATGTAATTTTATATAAACTCAAATTATATATATATATATATATATTATAAATTCAGAAAAAAATAGAAATATTCAGAAAAAAAATAAAAAGAAATGAAACAGATTGTTAATTCTATATCAATTTTATCACAGATTTAAAATAATTCAATATTATTTTTAAACAAAAAGTCCGATTAAAAATAAAAATAAACATAAAAAAATTGGATTAAATTCGCATTCGGCGAACGTAATGGTTAAACGATCAGTTTTTAAATAAAAAGAAAACCTAATTTGATGTTTGAAATTTGAAAAATATATAACAATTTTTGTAAGCACCTGACAATTGTTGCTCAACAGTATCTACAACTATTGCGTCCGCCGACTGTATTTTTTAAATCTTTCCCGCGTATTTCCTCTTCCTAATCGCATATCTTTAATTTAAGAAAACACTTAGATAAAGCATCTCTGTTGATACCTTTCATCTTCTCCAATTGTCCCTTATAGTTTCTCGGAAGTTAGATAACAGTTCGTCTTGTTCTAACCGTGTAAGACGATACTTGAGCGATAACGAGAGATTAATGATGTCATCGGTTTGTGAAGAGTTTAATTTCTTCTTTTCTATGTTCTTTATATCCAAGATGATTGAAATTTCGAACATGTACGCGTATTCTTTTTCAAGATAATAAATTTTTTGTTCTACTATTGCATACGAAGTAATTGATTTATACACGAAGCGGGAATTGAAGTTTGGAAGAATCAAAAGGAAGAAAATTAGCTATAATATTCTGTTTTTATATACATATGTATAAGTTCACGCAAGATTTATATTTTTATATCTTTTGACGCTTAATTTAAGACAAAGGTATTACGATATTGTAAAAATAATGTACAATTCTGATTAAACCTGCGCGAGGATATATAATTTGAATAAAAATTCAAGAAATATCTATTTCGAAGAAGAATAAAATACAAAAAAAAATCGTATAGATCGCTCCTAACAAAAATCAATTTAATCGCGCAGTTCAAAGATCAAAATCCAACTGAAAATCTCAGAATGTGCCGAGGATGCATGAAAAAAGCGTTTAAAAAAAGAAATTTTGCGCGCCAGCGAGGGAGCAGGCGCGCGATTGGCTGCAATTCGCGGCCGCGACCCACTTGGACGAGCTGATTGGCTATCGCGCGTCGAAGAAGGTTGGGAGAGGGATTCCACAAACGCGCGCGCTCTCGCGAAACGTCGACGAGCTCAGTCTGCTCAGTCGGCTCGAGTCGGTCGTCCGTCGTGCATGCGTCTTCTCGAGGAAGTGAATCGTCCAAGAGCCGGTTCGAGGACACCGTGGGAAGGAGAAAAGCGACGCAAAATCGGGCTGATCCTTCCCGCCAAAGTTCACGAGAAGTTTGACAGAAGAGAAAAAGAGAGAGGAAAATCAACGATCGAGCGGCTGACGAAATCGGACGGAAAGCCGAGTCGTTCGACTCGCGTCGCCAGCGGCGACCGAGAGCGCGAACGAGAGAGAAGGTATACATATACATGTACACGTACATTCCTGCACGTAATGTACGTCCACCGTTCGCTAATGACCCCGATTGTACACCCCGTTCCGTGGAATCGGCCGACTTATCAGGGCCAGCGATATACCGTTTCGCCGCGCAGAAAAATCGTCATCCTGCTCTCTCGCGCGATCTCCGTCTTACCGTTAATTACATGTATACACGGCATATGGCAGTAGAGGTAGGGAAATCATACACCTCGCCTAAGAGAGAGATCGTGTATCTGTTTATTTGTCATCGGAGCGGCGCTCGTCAACTCGATTCGCTCGGAATCCCATTCACACTTTCAGACGACTCAAATGCGCCAGTCGACATTGTTCTCTCGCTGGCGCAACATCCGCAACGCGTATGTAAACCGCAATTTGCGTAACATTGTTTCTAAGGTATATATACAAGGTGTCCGCAAATCGAGTTACATTTTTCGGATCTTTTTTTTATTTCAGAGATAGATTTCTCGCATTTTTCACGATATCAAGGTTTATGCTAATTATTTTTCTTTTTAACTTTCAAAAGTTTCTTTCCCAACAGATTCATCGCAAATTGGAATTTCCATGTTTTTGTTTTAAACGTGTCTTGTTTGTGAAAGAGCAATTGGAGATTTATAAGATAAATAAGATAATTTTTTTTCGATTTTTTTAAATCGAGCAATCTCTAATTGTGCACTTCTTGAATCGCATTTTTTTATTGCAGCTTTTGCAATTACTTCAAGAATTTTTCAAATTTTGAATTCATTTTTCATCTACTAAATTTTTTTTATTTAAATACTTTTTAAAACGAAGACACAACTCAAGGAAAAGTGTACGTTAAAATTTTTTAATTACTGTTTTTCTTTTTTTTTCTGACAATTATACTTAATCTCTTAAAAACTTAACAGTACTGTGAAAAATTACAATTTTTTAAAACAAAAGAAAAAAAATATATAAAGTGTTATTTTATGATGTGGATACTTTGTTTACCTATCTTGCATTGCAATGTTTCTATTATTATTGTATACTTGCATTGTCTTTTCTAGATACTAATACAAAATAATAGATGAAAGAATTTTACTCATTAATTATATATTAGATATTTAACATATTGAAAATAAATAAAATTTAAACAAATGACAAAATAATTTCTAGGAAAATATAAATCATTATCACAAGTTGGAGATAAATACGATAAAATTTTCTAATATAAAATATTCAGAATTATTTCTTTTAATTTTCTTTTATCTATACATAGATATTATTTTCTTCAAGAAAGAGAATAATACAAAAATGCAATTAGCATATATAGAAGAAACATTTTTAGGTATCTATATTAGTACATCCAAATTCTCTTTTTCTTTTTTTGTACCTTACTAAATATTATGTTGGTATTTTTATCACATCGTGGGTATTATGTTACATTACAATGTTTACATAGTTTTATTATATTATATCAGTTATATAACAAATTTTACATTTTTTTACTTTACATTACAAGATACAGACATTTACAAAGTTTGCATAACAAAATATAACTCGATAATTAACTAATAACACATAATTAAAATTTAATAGAATGTGCTTCAACAATAATCGCTTACATAGCACATTCCAGATATCCTATTACTCCTTTTGTTTTATATATTTGCAGACGAATATCTTTCTTATGTTTCTTTTTTTTGGTACATGAGTCTTACATATTTATTTTATGTTACGAGAGTTTGTAAGAGATTGTTATTTTGGTAAAGGTTCAACATGCAATGATATACATGAAATAATTGAGATTTAATAAAAATATCCTGTAGTTTCTGTTTTTTTATTTTTATTTTCAATCTAATTTATTCCTTTAATTGCCTATCTTTGTCTTAGAATAGATAAACAATTTATATGTATGCTTTAATTATAAAATTATTTATCTATATGAAATTTTTTTCAGGTCAATTAGTAAGTATACCTGAGAGATTTAAATATATCTCTTCCTGTATTCTCTCTTTTATGAGAGAGAATTATCATGGATCAAGACGAAGTTGTGAAGAATTTGCGATCATGTTTGATATCGTGCAAAGGTGGTATCAAATTAGACAATTTAAGAGGTAAATAATGAAATTATTATAATCTTGTTATTAGTGTATAATTTTAATTATTTCGATAAATTAATCTTATACCATACTCTAATACATTATTAATTTACATATCATTTTTAAAAGAAAAACTAACAAAGAAACTTCTTTTTACAGGAGATTACCGTATGATCACAGGAGATTCACTACCATTCAAGCAATTTGGATATTCCACCCTAGAAGCTTTTATACGTAATATACCGGAAGTTATTGTAACAAGAAAAAATGGAGAACTATATGTAGAAGCTACACCTTCCAAGACGACGGCGCATCTTACAAAATTGATTTCAAAACAAAAAGCACGACGAAAAATACGACCTTCTACCAAAAAAGTAATTATCAATAGTTTATATTTTTCAAGCGAATATAATTGTGTTGTTGAAATATACTAGTACATTTCGCCAAATTAAATAAATAAATATCATTAATAAATGAGAATAAAAAACTCTACGATTATCTGATCTATGTGTTTTGTGATATATTATGTATTGCGTCAAATTCTCGAAAGACATTATTTTACACTTGTCTTGGTATGCAAAGAGTTAAGTTGCATTTACATGACTACAATTAATTGCAAAATTCATTTTCAGTGGACTCCATCTCGATACACCACTAGAGGTTTTTCACCTGGTGCTAAAAACAACAATAATTACAATGGATTTCAATCTACTAGAAACAATTACGTAAACCCTACCTTTACTACATCAACACCTGGGAGAAGCAATTTGTATACAGAAGTTAATAGGTACATAAAAAAAAAGATGAGTTTTGTAGATATTGTTTTTTATACAAATATCATTTATTATTCAGTTTGATATGTTGCTCTATTTCTTATAGTTTATATGCAAGCAATTAAATGTTTCAATTGTTCTTGATTAGTCCATTAAAATTACTTAATATATGTATTTTGCGCACGTGGAGATATAAATAATTCATAACATACTTGTACCAAATAATATTTTAGACCCATTTTACCTCTCATGGAAACAGTAGTACCATGTCCACCGTTATTGACTAATAATGAGAAATCAAGTTTTGCTCCAAGTACACCTCCAATTTCTCCTGTTAAAGTGAGTGCGAGTGTTCCAAGCAATTCAAAATTCTTGTTAAATTTTTGTCACATTAAATATTAATATATTAATCATTTCAGAGACTGACAAACGACGTGACAAATCCCAGTGTAACGACTTTGAACCAAAGCGTTAGTAATTATAAGACTATCGAAGATTTAACGTGCAAAGTATTAAATGACAAGATAGCAGTACCATCTGTGATAAATGTGAAACCAAAGACTGCAGAGTTCAGATCCTTGCTGAGTGAGAGACTCAAAGTTTCTCCTCCTAGAAATACTATTATGCCTAGAACACCTTTGTCGCCGATTGCTAGTTATAATAACGGTCATGCGTCTTCGGCTATTCCATCGATTATTAATAAATATCAGGTAAAGCCCATGTCAGACTGTTGATTGTGACAGTTTGATCAACTTTCATAGTTGGCTGATACCGGTTTAAGAATATTAAGAAATGACAATATCCTCTCGATCAAACTACATTTTTTCCAATCAAATTATCTTTATAGGTCTTGCCACCAGGTCAGGTTTCCGATCCTAGAAGAGACTTACAAATTCGTGCCGACACATTTAATCTACCACCACCAATATACAAGATGCATTCGAGAAAGGACAAACATTCCTCGAAGATAACCATCTACGCTAGCGTAAAAGTAAATAATCATCTTACCTTTTTCTTTTCTATTTGTATTGACAGATTCATAAATTTCGCAGGTTGGTGCGCACACGTTTCACACGTATCCGGAAGACGCAGCATCCGAGGAAGAAGCCGAGAAGATTGCAGCGCGCTTGGCTTTGGTGGATCTCGCCAAAGAATCCTTGAGCCCCGAGGTAACGACTGTCGACAAGAAATTGGTGGAGGAACGCATTCTGAACATCGTGACCAAACATCACAGCGGGGTCTTTATGCATCTACTACCTGAATATTATTGCGAGCAATATAAAGAGGCCCTACCCCACAACTGGCAGAAGATTATGGAGGAATGTGCGAGCATAAATCAAGAAAAAGGCGTTGGTGATTCGATGATACTTTGCAGAACTTCGCCAACTTCGAAAGTAATAAATATTTTACGATATGTGCCAATATTTTCTTTCGGGTTTCTTATCGAAATATCATTCTTGTTTATGTTTCTTTTCTTTAGCGTTCGGAAAATAATTCCACCTTATTCAAGGATGAGAATAGCTCCTCGTCGAACGAGAAGGTACAATTGAACCCAATTGGACCTGCCGCACCCGGTAAATTGATACTACCCAAGACGTCTTCTTCGCAAGTGTACATCACTTGCGTCATAAGCACCGCCGAAATTTGGGTTCGCTTCGATAAGTATAACGTAAGTATTGTAATCTATTCGCCTTTCTTTTCGTGATCTAAAACTTTTTTCTTTCACTTTCTTTGCTCTTTTTTTTCTAGGACAATTTTGTCGAAATGAGAAAGAAAATGACGAAGCATTTTGATAAGAAAAAATCCGTCTCGATTTCGTCGGCGGAATGCGTCGTAGGCGATTTTTACGCTGTTCTCGAGGACAACTATTGGCACCGAGTTCAATGTATAGATTTTGACTTCGAAACCGAACTTGCCACAGTTTTCTTTATTGACGAGGGCTATGACGAACAATATAAATATGATGTGCTACATCCTCTGGACAAAAAGTTCTGCATGCTTTCAGCTCAAGTAATCTTTGTTCTATTTCTTATTTCAATTGCGCTTTCGCACGTTAATCGTACATATTTTTATCTTATGCAGGCGACCAGAGTAGCTCTTCACGGATTAGAAGAGTTTTGTGATTACGCCCAGTTAATTCCGGAGATTGAAAGTCATCTCATGGTCGAGCAACTGTTTCTGGCAAAAGTGCATAGTACGAAAGTCGACGAATATGGTTCATACACAACAGTGACTTTTTATGACATTAGTAAAGAGGAACAAAACGCAAATGTGAATCAAATTCTAATAGACAAGATCTTAAAAGATATTACGATCGCATCCAATTTACAAGTAATTGTGAAAATTTCATTCTTTTAGTTGTCTTTTTAGTTATATATACATACACATATATGTATATATTGACTGTTTTCCCATTGCAGGTAGGACAGTTAATCGAATTATATGTCACGCACATAGACGAGGACGGAAGGGTCTATGCGCAGTTAAATTCATTCGTGAGAAATCTGGTAAGCAGCGAGGCCTTGTTGCAAATATTAGAAAGCAACACGACGACTTCGTCGGCGAGGGAGATTACCTTCACGAAAACGTACTTTGCAAAGTGGGATTTGCAGTTGTATAGGGCACGAGTGACGAATATAACTGACAATAAAATAATAGTAGCTCTGTTAGATGTCGGTAAAATCGTCACAATATCAAAAAATGATCTGTTTTCCATGGACGAGATGAGTGTTCTACACTACATCCCACCGCAGGTAAAAACGAATCTTCGTCGAGTTTCAACCTTCATTATTTCTTAAGGATGAGATGATTGATACTTGTGGATTTGCGCGTGAAAAACCAGGCGAAGCAGATCTTTCTGCATCATCTCGATCAATCCAACGACGAAAGGCTAATGGCAAGATTTCACGAACTGGTGTCGGACATGGATCTGCTTTTGGCAAGGATCATGAAAAGGAGTCAAAGCGGAATCCCAATAGTGGAGATTTTCAAGAGAATTGGACCGAATAACATGCTAGCCTCTATTAATACATCATTGATTTACGATAGCGAATTATCGAAGTAAATATATTCATGTTTACTTTTACATTTCCTGTTGAAAAACATTTGACTTTTAACCGTCTTTATATTTTTGAATTTTTTATTTTGACTCTTTTCATCTCACATTTCTTTATTATTCTATTTTATTGTCTATTGCTTATTATATAATAACTTTACTGTTTTAGTTCTCTATAATTTTATGAATCTAAAAATGCTTTGCAGAGCGAGCGAAGATGGTAATAACAATGTTAATAAATCATCAAAAAAACGTTTGGAGCGGAGGAATTCTCGCGCTTTCGATTTTGTTGGTAAATTAAATCCACCCACTATCTCGGATATCGGCGACTATTTTGACGTTCACGTAACATTAGCTGCACATCCAGGACATTTTATCGTGCAACCGTTAAAGGATGCGTCCGAATTGAAGGTACGTGTACATATACACATCAAAGTTTAATTGATCAGCTAAACCACGGTATACATAATTACGCTATATCTCGTTTTATTTTCAGGCTATGATGCTCAAACTGCAAGAATATTGCAATAAATACGATGGTTCATCATTGGAAACTATCGGTGAAGGCAAGCTTTATGCGGGCAAATTTCAAGAGGAATGGTATAGGTACGCGCTGTATGCAATTTTGCAGCATACAAGAGACTTTTGCTGAGCAACGCTCGATTTCGTTTCAGAGTTTATGTCACCAATATTATCAGCGATCATGAGGTATCCGTATATTTCTGCGACTTTGGGGATGTGACAATAGTAACACGCAGTAGCTTGCAGCCGTTGAGGAGCGATTTTTTAAAGCTACCGTATCAAGCTGTGAAAGCTAAACTTGTCGGTAAGAGAATATAATTGTTCTTTTCCTTTATTTCTCAAATTATTTTTTAATATGAATTTTAACGTTTTTTTTAATGATCAGGAATAGAAGCCATGAATGGCGACTGGACGGTTAATGATTGTGTCAAATTCAAAGATTTAGTACTCGATAAGGACTTTGTCTCGGTGGTTGCCGAATCTATGTTCGATCAGCTCTCGCCGGCCAATGGCACCGTACTGGGCTTACGATTAATCGATGTCAGTACTGAAAGAGACATATACATCGATAGGTTATTGGTAGAGGAGAAACGTGCCAAATATATTGATGGATTCGAGGATCTTCCATCTAGTTAGCTTCTTATATTGATTAATGAATTGAGGAAACAATTTATTTTCTTTATCGTCGCGTTATCGTTATCCTTTTATTATAATAACATAATATCGCTTTTGCTTGCAAAACCGCGAATATTTAAAAAGGTGGTAATGCGTGAATATATTATTTTTTTACTTATTTTTTCTGTAATTAGACAGCGCGGGCGTGAACAACGTAAAAGGATAACGCGCGAATATTAAATTTTATTTAACATTATTTGAGTTTGTCTCTGCGATTACGTATTTCGTTGTTCGGAGAAATAATTTTTTTTCTTTTTAACATTAGAAGTTACGATTATAACGCGAATAGCGGTGAAGTTTTATTCGTTTAAAAGTTCTTATGTTTATAACATAGATATGTTATTTTTCCTTCGGCTTCTACTGTTTATAGTTCTTCCTTATCAATTACATTTTTGTTGTCGCACAGTTAGACAGATGTATTGCTGTTGAAGTTATAATGTGCGTAAAGTTTACTTAGAAGCCAAGTTTTATTAAATATGTTGTATATTTTTGGAAATATTATATTATATAATATATTATTATTATTCATGTCAAGTATTCCTTAGCAAAACTATTACGTTATGTTCTTTTAAATTTCTTTGTCGTTGTTTAACTTAGCACGATTGTTTCATGTTATTAAACAGAACAGTATGATATTGTCTAACGACAAAGATTGGCTGTGTATAATTAACTGAATATAACGACATTCCATACGTAGTATATACATACATAATACATGATATACAGATATTACACATGTTTGAATATCATATGATTAATTGCTTCCACTACGTGGTTCTAAATTGGAATTATTTACTTTATTGCCATACTATAAGCGTATTGTTAGAAATTCTTGCGAGGTTTATTTGTAACAGATAAATATTTTTATTTTTTTATTTATCTAAAACTTTGAAGAAAGCAAGATAGAATTATACAACATATAAAATAAAATTTATGTACAATAATTTTCGATACCACACACATTTTATACCTTCATATTATTTGTATAATTAAAATATTATCGTGCACGCCACACGATAGAGATAGCACGCATTGTCACTTTATATTGAAGAAAAAGCTAATACACAAAAATGAAAAAAAAAATTCATGTTCGCTCGTTCTCTATGATAAATGTTACATTGCTGGCTAACGAACTGTCGCTCAATCGAGTCGAATCCATCTTTTCGGCTATGACTTCAACTTTGTCAGCATTTTCATTTAAATCCGGCATTTCTACGACGTAAGTGCCGGTACTGTCCGAAGAACTTAATTCGAGCGCGTTCGTTCTTTCAAGCGAAACTGAAATCGAGTTGCGAAAATCGAACGAATCATTTTGGCTCTTGGAGCGACTCGTTGAGCTGGACCGTGCATTGCTATCTTTAGGATCTCCCCGGTGATGTTTAATGGAATTTGCAGCGCTACTATCTTGAAGCAGTATGTCTTCTTTAGGAACAATGTTACCGGACATGCTGGTATTCGCTTGGATCCAAGAACAGCGACGCTCATTTATTCGACTGGAAACCCGTTCACCTTCATCTTCAAAAAACATTGAACTCTTGGACAGCATCGAATCGATTTTTTCAATAATACAGTGCAAGCGATTGCGGCTCCTCTCCTTCCAGCATCGTTCCATTTCTTTCAAGCGGCGGAGGGTCGTCCATGGTCGCTCACCATCATCGTTTTCAATCTGGATCATCATGTGATCGTTTGCGGGACGAGAAGACGAGATTTCTTTTCTCGCTGTCGTATCACCGCTAGATTTGTGCTGTCGAGACAATGGATGCTCCGAGACATTCATGATGATCTCGTTATTGTATGTCCGCAACGCATCATCCTTCGTAAGAAGATTCAATCCAACATTACTGCCACTCGCGTTCTTATTGAATCTCAAGACACGAACCGACGTCGGATTGCCGAATGTTGAGAATGCCAATATATGATCGTAGGGATGATAATCTACGCAGGTAATGACTGTCCTGGATGAGCTACACCCGTCATTTGTGTATTTGGCTATGTGTTTACCGGTTTCCAAGTTCCAGATGTTTAGTACGGAATCCTCTCCGCCACACAAGATCAAACCACCGCAGGGAGATATACAGGCTCTCAATTGTATCCTTGAGAAAAAAACGAGGAATTAATAATAGAACGAATTAATACATAATATAAAAGAAAAAAATGAGAAGAATAGTAATATAGATAGGATATGAAAGAAATATCAAGTGTGAAAGATTTCATGGAAAAATGAGGACGTTAGAGCGCAACTATGAAAGTGAATTAACTGGAAGAAACCAAAAGGAAAGAGAGATAAGATGAGAATAAAAACGGAAACGTCAGATTTAAAAATCGAGGTAATTGGAGAAGGAAGTGAGCGTACAAAAAATACTCGGAAGAAGTCGAGGAATATGAAAGGAAAATTAATATGGAGAACATGAAAAGAGACATTTTTTATATGCATACCTTTGATTGTTCAGCTGTTTGTACATTCGTAAGACCACGCCGGTCGCGAGATCCATCATTCTTAGACCATTGTCTCTCGAGTGCACGAGAAGTCTGGATTCGAGGGGATGCAAAACGATTGTGTTGATGACAATTCCCTCAATTTCGGGAAGCTTTATCTTCCTTGCGACATACCACTCTCTTCTGGCTGACATCCTACTGTTTCGGCGAACCGTCCAAAGGATTATCGCTCCTACACTGTCGGCCGTAATTAAGTTACCATTTTTTTGAAAAACCATGGAGTTGACGAAACCCTCGTGTCCCTCCAACTCTTGGCTCAGCTCTCGCTTCGTCGACTTTCCATTCTCGTTTGCCCAGATACGAGCTACTCCATCGTAACATCCTGTTACCACGATCGTCATCTTGCCGGGAGCGTACCTGGCGCAATAAACGTACGAAGGATGCGGCAGCATCTGCAATAAATTAAACATTAGACGGCCTTGTAAAATCAAATGTGCCGGTAAGTATGATGTGACTTTTCCCCAAATCCATTTATTTAATTTTGAAAACTATTCATAGGCTACCTTTTTTTTAATGCGTTTTAATGCTGTTTCGATCAAAATATGTAGCAACATTTTTCAATACATATTTTTCTCTTTTTTTAAATATTAAACGCAAAAAGTTATAGCACAAATATTAAAAAAAAAAATAGACAATCGATGTCGACGCATACAGATGTATTTGCTTGAATATTTAGAAAATATTGACATCTAAAAAAAGCTTAGACTTTCATTAATCTTAACAAATAGATGTGATCTGCTCAATCACCTCGATGTGTTGCACTATTTGGTTGCGAATGTCCCAGATACGCGCCGTTTGATCCGCCGACGCCGACAACAGGTGATAATCGTCGTTGGACCAATTTAGAGAGTACACGAAAGTTTTGTGGCCGAGAAATCGAACATGGATTTTGCTGGTTTCGACCTGCAAAGAAAAAATATAAATAATTACACATAAGTCGGAAATATCATTGTTTTGACGACATAAAAATTTACATTTTTCTATATTTTAACCATGATTATGTAGGTGCAATTAAATTTTGCGCAAATTCTGGTTCATCCCTCTTTCTTCTACAGATACGATATTAAGTTTTATCTCAATATCTGCGATACACATTGAAAAAACGCACCTCGTAAACGACAATCGGATAATCGTACTCCTCGGAATGGACGCAGGCCAGATACTTGCCATCGTTGCTGAAGGCAATGTAGAAAGAGCCGTTCTCGCTCGCCTCCGTCTCAAACATTTTCTCGTTCGGGATCTTGCAAGACTGGGCAGCCAGTCGGGCCCATTTCGGGAGACCTATCGTCGAGTCCGACGTGCGACGTTCCGTCGAGAGTCTCCTCCGCGAATCGTCGTTTTCTCGCGCGTCGTCGAGGAGATCATTTAGTGGCAATTGCTGATAGAGCACAGATTCTTGTTTCGATGCTAGGACTGACTTCACTGTCACCAGAAGACTGCTCGGATACTTGTCTCTATTGTTCGACTGCCACCACGTGTAGACCTGCATGTGCGAAAGAAAAATTATAAAATGCAACATCACTTTTATGTCAAACTCTTGGCATACATTTTTTTCCTCTAAAAATATACAAGACTTTCTCCCTCCAATTCTTTTGGCGCTATTAAAAGTATAAAAAAAGAGAAAATTACACAATTTTCTTCTTTAATACTATATACATAAAAAATTTGATTTATTGCTTTACAAAACTTAATTTGTGAGACATGGATTGATATGTATATATATGAATAACTCGGGTAAAAGTTTTTGACATTCTTACAGCATGCGAGAGAGCTGTTTTATTTCGATATACAGAAAAAAAAAGATTTACATAAAGACCTGGATAATCTTATAAGCTATTATATGTATATAGAATAAACTACTCGAAGGGAAAAGCAAACAGACAGAAAGCAAATAAGTGTATATAAAGTTATTTCTAAGAAAAGTTTGAAGATTAGAGCAAAATACGAAAATCTACAATTATCACAAATTAATGAAATAAAAAACGGAAAGGCATACCTCGCATGTGTGTTTCCCGTATCTCTTGGAGCTTCGTCTAGGTCTGTAAAGCTGCAGTCGCACTTTCTTATTCGTATGAAGAATATTGTTGGTTCCAACGGGTTTAAGAAACGCCCAAGCGATTTTATTCCAGCATCCTTCGCTACCTAAAATCAAGCATAAAATTAATTTATTATTAATTTCTGAATAAGTAATTAAAATAAATTATTATTAAGATTAATATGTATATTATAACAAATTTTATCAATAGTAGTTTTACCGAGTAATTTACCAAAATTTTTAATCATCTTTCTTTCCTAGACTGGAATATATATCTTACAATCACACTTCATATATTAAAATTAATGTATAAAAAAACTAAAAACTGACATAAAATTGTAATAAAATAAGAAAGCACAGTTGGATAATTAACATGTACATTCTAGTCACTTTGGTAGCAATAATATACATATACATATACTTTGTACAAGTTTTTCATCGATGCCATTTTGAACAAACAGATAAATAATTATTCGAATATTTGCTTATTTTAATAATTATTAATACAAAACAATTCCGAAGAAAAACTTGCCGACTCTATCGTAGCCGAGGCTCGCTTCGGCGAAACTCAGGAGGTCTATCACTTCGAAAAGGATCACCGTTCGATCGCCATCCTCGCGTTTCACGATGGCATCAAAGTCGTGCTCGAAGACGAGCTCCTCTTCCCAGACTGGTATCATCGATCTGTTCTCCCTGAAGTCGAATTTACCGGTGATCAACGGCCGAAGATACGTGTTGCTGTTCTTCAAGTACGAGCCGGTGCGTGCATCCACGATGTGGACCATCACCATCGGTCGTTTCACGTTCGCGTAGTCGGCTTCGAGCACATCTGCTCGATGAATCGTTACAGAGATGTATCTTTGCTCCTCCTTTCTCGTTTCTTCCTTCTCCTGTTTGCGTTTCTTCCTCTTCTTTTTTTTGACCGTCGAACCGATCGTGGCTGACGAAACCCGGACTTCGTCATCGACAAAAAGCTTCTTCTTTTCGAACAACGATCGCTCTCCTCCTCTCGACGCTCGATCTCGCTTCGTCGTCGCTTCCGGTTGAAGTCTCCCGTCACCGCCCGTCGTTGTTCGATCTTCGGAAGTCATCGAGCTCGATCGAAGCTCGTCGGTGACTTTCCCCAGACTCATTGATGAATCCGCTTCCTCGGCGCTGTTCTTTCTTCGACTGTTCAAAGATCTTGTTCTTGAAGATTGACTGTCGCCGCTCATCGGCGTACGTCGTTCGCTTTGTCGTTGCTTTCTGGAAGAGCCGGACGTTGAACCAGCCTCCTCGACGTTGGAGCGATCGCTTCTCATTCTCCCCATCTCGATCCTGGTGCTCTCGCGATTGTGATCGGTCTCAATCCGGAGCACTTCGTCCTCGGACACGAACGCGGGATTATCAAAAACTTGTTGGGTTGTTGCGTTGCTGCGTCGCGGCGCCGGAACCGGAACTTTACGTCGAGAATCGTGGATCAACGGAGACGCATCATCGCTCGTCTCCGGAAGCCGGATGACCCCGGTGTCCTTGGACCAACGTTTCCGCGCTGGTTTCTTCGAGTCCATTATCTCTGTCTCGTTCGTCGCAGCATCGGTCCATTGCTTCCTACGGCGCGGTTTTTCTTCGAGAGAATCCTTCCTGTTGCCAGATTCTTCTATCAGATCCAATGATACCATCGTCATCACCTCCTCGTCATGCGACCGACGGGGACGGTCTTTCGAGGACCTTCTGCTTCTCGTTCCGCGATCAGCCGATCGATTCCGAGACTTTTCGCTCGCTCGCGAGGAAACTTTCGAGCTCTGAGACGATTCTTTGGTCTCCTTATCATTCGAAAGTTCGAGACCATTATTCTCGTGGTCCCGTTGTTGGCGGTTCGTCAAATTTTCGTTGTGGACATCCACAACGACGCTCATCGTCGTCTTCGGCGGCGAGGTCGCGCTCTCCGTCGACTCCTCCAAGAAGGACGATACGTGGCGCGATCTCATCAATTTCCTGCCCCTCGATTCGGCGGACTTAGCCATCTTTTACAATCTCTTTGTGATGACTTTTCTATCGCGTTAAAAGGAACAAGGTCGTGCGAGAAAAGGCATCGCGTGCGTGTGTTCCACTTGAACGAATCGATCGTTGGCAATCACGAAGATGACAAATTCACCATTGTCTGGTTGTGGACACCAAACAGAATAATTCTCCGTTCTCGCTGCATAGTTCTCTCGTTATTATTGGTATTAATATGACTTGCGATGACTCGTCCCTGTCGCGTAGAAAGAGTCGTCCACCAACTGCTCGTTGCTATTAGGAACGAGTGCACGCCAGGACAGGTGCGGGAGTATATATTCATATATAGTTACTGACCGCGTGGAAGAGCGTGGATCGATCGATGAACAACGACAGTGGTCCCAATTCAAAAGTCTCACGGATCTTGATGCGATTCCTCGATTTCCGAGCAAGTTGTGCGTCTCGTGACATTTTCGTATTCATGATAAGACCTGAGGATCATGAGATGAAAAATAATAATTGTTGTCACGATTATTCTCTTCAATTTTTACACATTTTTCTCTTTCACAAAAATACATTCGCAAAGGTTTTTGTTCTGTTAAACTTCTAGAGCGATTTGTATTTCAAGGACAAAAAAAACAAAGTTTAGAAGAGAAAAAAAATACTCAAACATTATTATAAGAGACATATGATATATTATCTAGGTATAGGAATGTATATCTTATTTTTTTCTGTAAAAGTATAAAATTACATTTTTTCTCTGGCAAAACTATTACAGAAGAAAAAAGAATAGGCTTTAAGGTTTAGAAGAGAAGTTTTCTTAAATTTTCTTCATTTCAAGATAATGTATTTTAATTTTATTATAAAATTTCTTAAATTTAATTGTCAAATTCTTTAAAATTGAAGAAAAATATTTTTTCAATCCTGTCAATCTTTTTCAATCATCTTCCATCGCAATCGTCTCCCTCACTCTACAATAATGCATAAAATTAATATATTGTAAAAAAATATATAAATTATATTACATATTAATTATATATAATATAATTTTATGAATATACCTTACATCTAATATATACGTACATTTATTGGATATTTAAAACAAATCACAAATCGAACATCTCTGTTCTACGCCAATTTCCTCTTGTTATGATAGGTTTCAAGCAAAGCTACAGCTGCCGAGCCGCTCCGCTTAGAGGATAATAAGTGTTTCAGTATAGAAAACCATTCATCAATCCCATTAATAGCAAATAGCAACTCGAGAATATGACAATAATGTCGCGGATATACACGCCTTAGTATTGGTAATATGGTACTTTTTAACTCTTGTTTTCGCTTATCCGGTGGCATTGCGGCTAACATCCGTATAGTGGGTAACTCGATTACTATACGAGTTCGATACATATCGTTTTCGCCTTGAAAAAAAAAATATTACACTATTTTGCGCAATAAAAAAACTGTTTTAAAATATGAGGTCTGTCACAGAAATGAGATTAAAATAAAACAATAATGAGTGTATATATAGTATCTTCATCCTTTAAGGGCCGATTTTTCCAACTTCTTGATAAGTTTTACCCGACAAGCTGCATATTTTCGTATGTTTTCGGATAAATTCTAAAAAAAGAGACGAAGATATGCTACCTGTTGACTAAAACTTATCAAAAGTTGGAACAACTGGCCCTAAAAGCAGTACAATAAATTTCGATTTGTTTGCGTCATCCGCATATGTGTTATTATAACACGAAAACAGCGATCACCAAATGTTTCTTCTTTTAACTTTTTATAACAATCGTTGGCACTTTATATCTTTTAATTTAATAGAAATTTTATTATATCTTTTATTTGTTTGTAATATTTTATAACTATATATATATATATATAATGAAAACCAGTGACGAAGTCTATACTCTAATACACATAGTATATTATACCAAACACGTGTTTGATAATAATACGTACGTGAACGTAACCAAACAAATCGAAACTTCAGTATACTGTGCTTTTAAAATTTTAAAGGAATTAAATTAATTAATCCCTTATTTACTTCTCTGATAGACCTCGCGTATATCAGAAGAGTATAATCTATATTTCTCGTAATAAACAAAAATAAAGCCTTTGTGTTGGAATCGAATGGAAGAGAGAGAGAGAATTGCCCTTTGATCACCTTCAATTATCAATCAATATACATATATTTCCAAATCTAAAATTATAGTCTAACCTAAAGTAAAAAAAGATATCTTGGATCTTATTCGAGTTAAAAGAACTGAATTAAGAATCGTGATCTTGAATTTTTGAAAATCTGTCACGTAATCGTTATTTATAGTTCGAATTATTATTAATATCTCTATCATTAATTGCAAGACAAAAAAAACGTGCTCATTTATTCATCCCTTTTTGTAACACTTATTAAATGTCAATCATCGAAGCAAAAAATAGTTTAACACGTTTACACACCTGTATATATAACTGAGCGAAGAACTAGAGAAGATTCACCACACTTCGTCGAGGTCAAGATTTAAACTGACTGACTCACAAGTTTGAAAATATTGAAAAAACCAAAAGAGTCCTTCGTAGGTTTTGTCGGCACCCTCTATTGCGCCGTAACTCCGCTCGTTTGATGCCCGAAAACGAGAGGGACAAGGATGAGAAATCGATAGGAAAAAGCATTAAGGAAAAGCACTAAAGAAAGAGGAAAAAATACAAAGAGAAAGAAAACAAAAATGTGAGAAAAAAGACAAAAGAAAAGACAAATAATTATGAAATATTGTTTTTCAATCTTATATAAAGAAAAAAAGCAATATACAATTAGAATATTTTATCATTAATATTTTTTGAACGTGTGCCTTTGCATTTTGATTGTTTCAAAATTATTTCCTCTTTCGGATCACTTATTTATTACAATGTATCTTGATAGCTCAATTAATTTTTTGAAATAGAGTTTACTATTTATATTTTTAATTATTTTTGTATAATTATAAATTACATTATAACTTACGTAATTATTTCAATTTATATAATAGCGTCATTTTGCACCACGTTATTGTTTAATTCCACGTTACTCGCTTCCACTTGTCGTGTTAATTCCTGTAATAAAATTAAAATATGAAATTTAAAAACATATCTTGCGCGCGAAATTAATTAAACTTTAATGACAAAATGTTTTGCCCACCGTGTTAATCATATTTTCGTATTCTTGTTCACATTGTGATATCAGTCTATTTCTCAAATCGCCCGAAGATTCTTTAGTGTCCTCCCGTTCATCCAGCTTCGAAAAAACATCGGTTAAATCCGACTCACCGTGCATCTTTAAAGTTTTCATTTTCAATCGTTGCTCTCTGTTCTTCGCTTCAATCACTTTCTCTCTACGCGTTTCACGATCCAGAAGCTGAAATAAAAAATCGATAGTTTTAGGGTAATAAAATATGTTAAAAATATAATTTGCAGTATATAAAATCTATTTTTCTATTTAATTTTCGCATATATTATTGGCTTATACAATTATATCTTTGCGTCTGAAAATATTATTACAATAGAAGAAATAATTTTTTTTTTAATTTGGTATCTTTAAATGGTTTATAAAAAAATTATTTAAAAAATTAATATCTTCCCTTTTTATTAGTTTCAAAAATGTAACTCATAATACTGAAAAACTGATTATTCAAATAATAATAAAAATGATAAAATTTAAAAATGTATTTTTAGAAATTGATATGGTAATATAGGAAGATATTTGAGTGCACATTTTTTTCAAATATGTAATTCTTATAATAATAATAAATACAATAAAAAATAAATAATATAAAAAAAAACGATTTTTTCGGAATCTCTCTATTGTTATTTAAGTTTACCGCAGTTAACAGCAATTTGTCATTCTTTTGATTGACTGTTAAAGCTTCGGAAAATTCTAGCAGGTAAGTTGAGCCCTTTTTGTTTGCGACAGCAGCCAATTGCCCTTGCTCGTGTGGTCGTAAACAAGTCAAACTCTCGTCACAGACCTTTAAAAATAGGTTGATGTGAAATTTCGAAATTACAGCCACCCAAGTCACGATAGCGTAATACCTTTACGCTGAGAACCGGACTGTCCTGTTGAATTAGAAAATCCCACACATCTAAAGTGCCATCGGTTTTGATCAGATAATAGACGGAGTAACGAGTGACACTCCAGGCACCGCCGGTTAAAAAATCTCGGTGACCGCTGTAGAAATATTTCACGTCGTTAATTGTTCAACAAATTTGTCGAAAAAATTTTCTGTAATAGTTTATTTCTAAAAACACTAACGGTGTCCACGCTATACAGGATTCTCTACAATCCTCCGACCAGATCCTGGAAGTCCAGTCGCCGACAGTTAAAAAGTTTTTCACAAATGTCGGATTTCTCTCCAGGCTTATAACCGGTCCATATTGCGCTTTGAATCTCGTCGCGATCTTCTCGCCAGGTGATTTACCCTTGCGATTGCCCGATATCACGATACCTAAATGATATTAGAATTACGTATTCATCATACACAATATTTTTACAAATTCAAAATTCAATTAATTCAAAAGTTCTTAGTTTTATGAGTTCAATCATTAATAGCATTTATTAACATTATTTATGCGATTGTTAGCTCTCGTATTACTAGCAGAACTATCTGATATCGCGTAAATAATCTATTTTTTTTTAATCACTTGTAATCTTCAATATTAATGTTTTACTTGTAAAACAATTTATCTCGTTCCTATTCCTCAAAGAGTCTATAGAAGCGCAGAATGATATAAATTTAGAATAATAAAATACAATTACACATGAATCATTCATTGTCAGTGGATCTAGATACCGTTTTCCAAACCGCACATAAAACGCGTGCCAATTGACGGTTCGAATTGAAGAGCCGAGATGCCGATGGCTTTGTCTACGTTCTGATCCTCCGGCTTCTGCAAGTCTATCACTAACGTCTCCGTTGGAATCTGCATTTTCCTGGTATCCCACCACTTTATCTACAAGATCGAGTGTATGACGCAGTCTTATTACGGATGTCTCATGAGCACGCGAGCAACTATATATACATATATACCTGTCCATCTTTCGAGGCGCTAAAGAACTCGGTACCGGTCTTGGAATTGATCCATAAAATGTTGTCACAGGGATCTCGGTGACTGAACTCGACCGAACTGATATCCACCGCTTCCGATCCTCGCCTGATGTCCCAGCAGGCTACTTGTCCGGTCGCCAGACCACTTATCAGAATATGACTGTCCTTGGGGTTGTACTCCAATGTTAGAATCGGACAGAATGGTTTTAGCATCATATAGGGGTTGTTTGGGTTCTCTACGGAATAGAATTTCTTTCAATATATTATTCATCCACGCGATTGCGACAACTTTAATCGCTTCGTATACATGCTCACCTACTTCCCAGATGTACGACGCGTAATTGCTGCTGGAGCTCTTCTTGAAATCGTCGTTGCAGTAACTGGCAGCGAAGCGATTACCTTGATCCGGCGACCACGACAGATGAGCAATTTGCCGTTTCGTCGGCAAAGGATCACGGTAAACGTTCACTGTGCGTGAAAAGGCTCTCTGTATCAATGGATTCGCCTCCACGTCGGCATAATAGTGTTCATAGATGTTGCAAGCGTTGTTTTGCAAAATGCAGTGCTCCATCGACTTGAAAAGGACGAGAGCGTTTCAATTGATCATTTTAAAAAAATTAAAAGAAAGAGAAAAAGACAAATATCTTTTCTTTACAGGTAGCAATTGCAGCATCGTGTGGATGTATAACTCGTCCTTCTCGATCTTGCGTCTATATCTGACCGTCTGTTCCAAATCCTTCATGTTTATGTCCTTCGGCCAGCCGCCCTCGTAATGAAACATCTTGTTGTCCTTGTATGTCGCGGTAGTTGTATTTACCTGCAATATATATACATTTGTGTATACATATAGATGAAAATGTATATCTTTGTATATCTAAATGTATATCTATTTAGAAATATTGTTCAAAGAAATATATATCATACCTCGTGAACCGCGTAAACTTTACCGAATTGCGTAGCATGCGTCACGGGATCCATTCTGATGTAATTGTTCATCAACGTCGGGTTTGACTTGATCTCCACCTCGGTCTTATCAAAGTCGGAAAAATTGTATCTTTTCCCGAAATGCATTCTTTTCCTCGTATAAGCGTACTCCGCATTCATTGTATACAATAAATAATTGCAAATTATAGGGCGGAGAAAGAGGAGAAATACAGATTCAGTATATAGTCGTGGAAACCGTTCAGTTCGACATTAAAACTTTTATTTTTACTTGTTGATTAATACTTGTTAATAGCACTTTGATTCCAGGCACAATGAGATATATAAAAATTATATTATAGTGAAGAATACAACTCTTTATATGTGTATATTTTTCACTGTCTGAGTTCTATTCTCGCAAGAGATTAATAGGAATCAATTAAATGTACATACATGGTGGTTACTATAGTAACGTACAGTAGTATATGGCTTGATCTCAATCGGTTCTAACTAAAACTGGCACTTTGGGATTTAAACCTTTATGAAGGATACACATCGCCTTGTAAATTGATGCATATTCCGCGCTTGTAGGGTCGATGTTAGACTTGATAGTAGGTATTAAGTCGCATAAAATAATGACAATCAATGTATTCAGATATTTTGTACGCTGCAGTTTCTGTATCGCTTCGAACAGCGACAATAATTGCTTCCTGTTACGGTATCTTATGTTATACGCTTGAGAAAAATCTGAAACGATAAATCGAGACACAAGATATATTTGAACAAAATTAACAATTAAGAATTGAAAATGCTAGTCAATAAATGTATTATATGTATAAAGTAAATTTACTTTGAAAATGTTCCATACAGGAGATGTTCCATATACCGTTCGACATCCAGCCTCTTGTTAAAGAAAAATTACAGAATGGTGTTTCGATCGCGGGTTCTACAGGATTCTTGATGTTATATCGCTTCAAAGAGGTTCCTAATTGATCAAGCGTATTCTTCATATCATTTAGTTGGATCGAATCTAAATCATCATTAGAAATTTTACTAAATATAGATATTGATTCCGCTGTTGCTTTAAGTAAATGATCCTCTTGTAAACAATCTTGCGTAGCTATATTCTGCATGACATAAAAATCAAACCACAAATATTATAAAAGTGATCTTGTACAATTTTAAAAAATACGTCATTTTCTCCTCTCGTATTCAATCTCTCTTTTACTTACCATCGCTTCGAATTCTTTTAGAAAAGTATCACGTGATTTTTCGTATTTATCCTCCTTATTATTAGAATCATTAGTTTCTGTCTTTAGAAATGTGTGATAAGATCTTAGTACTTTAACTATGTCATTGGGTACATTAAAATATTGGAGCGCTTCCACTACGTCTATCGTTGAGATTTGTTCTTGAACAAATTGATGCGCATCATGTCCATGTAACGGACAATCAATTTTATCACGGTCGGGAGAAGGAATTAACGCACTCTCGGTGGACTGTCGCGTTGCTATTTTGCGTATTAAATCGTTCAATTCAGCAGCTGATGCTTCGGGTGTTGAAGACTTTTCTGACTGAAATAAAAACGCGCGATATGAAATAATTTTATATTACAAATTTATATATATATATATATATATATATATATATATATATATTCTTTATGCACATATATTTATATAAATATATATATATAATAAAGAAATATATATAATATATATATTCAAATGTGTATATATATTGTATATTATATTACATACATTTTGCAAATCGTCATTGAAATGATTACGTTCAGCTTGTAATTTATTTACTGAACTTATCTTTTTCACGTGTAATTTATTTTTAGTATAAAATTTTTTTCCCTCTTTAATTTTACCGCAACCTTCGTCGACGACGTTTTCGATTTTGTATCTTGTATTTTCTCATCAGTTGCATTACTTTGTTTCGCATTGTCAAGAAAGTTACAATTTACTTTCTCGGTTTTAATTTGTGCAATTTTTTTGCCGTCAGGACTCTTCGCGACATTCGCTTTTTGCAATAAAACATTATTTCTCGACATTTGCTTATGATCGTTAATCAATGTAAGATTGGGCAAATAAACATGTTCAACCGAATCTTTTCTCCAAGATTTTTTCTTCGACGAAGCTACATTAAGCTTTAACTTTTTCCGCAATTCCTGTGCCAATATTATCGCTCTTCCTATCCCTGCGGCGATTTCCTCAGCTTCATTTCCATTCGTCATCTAATTAATATAACAAGTATAAAACGAGTATTTATACATATGTATATGCATCAAAATTATATAAACAAATATAAAATATATGATATAATTGAATGGATTATCCATACTTTGTTACAATTACAAATGCCCTCGTCATCTATTTGTTTTTCAACAACGGCCTTCACCTGCCACGGCTTTAAAACGAATGCCGCTTCGTCGCAATCAGTTTTCAGTATCTGTTTCACCTTCTCCGTGATTAATAGAGTGTCATGTAACAGTTTGTACAAATTTGACAGATTTAACATATGGCTCGTTATTTCCGTTTGTCCGTGATCCTAATAAAAAAATATACATATATATATATATATATATAAATAACATATTACAGAAGAATAGAGAAAGATAAAATGTTTGCCACTCAAAGTGTTAATTTCTGAACATAATTATTGCTCTAAGCAATAAGATAATAGACATAGATAATAGACATTGCATGTATAAGTACTTGCTTATACAAATTATTATATAATCAGTGCATAAACATAGGAATATATTCCCATGTCTATGAATCAGCGTGATTAAGTGATTACTCGTCACACTTTTGCTTGTTTACGCAAACGCATTATATATTACTTGCTGAACGCAAAGTGAACACACGAGTTTGATAACTCACGTGTTAAAAAATAATTAAAACTATATTTATGTGTATGGGCATGTATATACAGTACATACAGTAGAAAACATATATTTATAATTTATATCGTATAGTAGTGATAAGAAAATAGGCATAAATCAGAATAGAATAAAATCTTTTTATATATTAAGAATAATATGTAATAAAGACTTAATAGGGTGTATATATATATATATAATTTACTTTTCTCTCTTTTTCGACAATATGTGCTTCATCGCTAATTTGTTTTTCCCTAGAGTTTCAGTCAATCAAAAACTAGAAGGACATTAAAAACAACTGCCTATCCTAACTATGTATATCTAAAACCATCACTCGCAGCGATAGTTTTAAAAATGCTGTAAATTGGAAATGTACTTGTAAACCACTAGCTCTTGCAGTGCCCGAAGACTTGCCTTCGTTTGCACGCAGCAACGAGCAATAAATGCTTCCATGTGTTGATAAAAATAAGTATTTTTATAAAAAATAAAGTATGGATTCATGATTTTTCAAGATTTTTCTTCTTAGATTAACGATTCACCCTTCCGTATTAACGACGTGTGTATGTGGAGATATATAAACGCGAAATTATACAAGTACTGCAGTTTCCAGAGGATAGAGAGTCACGTTGAAACTCGAGTCTTAACAAAGTGACATAATCTTGTAGTAAAAATACGTATTTCCGATATCCTTATCATTTTAAACGCTTCGAGTATATCGCAGATTTTTATGATTTACTTATTAAAAAGCTATATCAATTAAAAAGATAATGTCTGTGCTTCACGACATTTAAACTCGATATTGTGACAATAACTCCCTGTGTGAAACTGCAAACGTAATTTTCTAGTTATATAAATTGTACACATTTACGTTAACTTAATTCCTAAAATAACAAGTGTGTGAGAATGCACCACTGAGAATTATTCCCATAATAAATGAGATATTTTGTTGTAAAGCGAGAAAAATTATGGAGTTCATTGACTGGATGCAGGAAATATAAGAGACAAGTCAATGTTGATTTTACTTCTTATAATAATGATTATGTGCGTTTACAACTCGTCCTTCCTTGGCACGTCGTCGTCTTCGTCTTCTTCTTGAGCCTATGAAACGAAAAAAAAAAACAAAGTAAGCAACGCGTTAAAGAAAATTATGCCTTAAGTTCGTCAAAAAAGATACGGGGATAGCAAATAATTTGTTGTCTCTCTCTTTCATCATAATTTAAAGTATTTATGCTGCTCTTTTGTAATTTAAATGCAATTCCAAGACATACCTCTTCCGCGGCTTGACCGTATTCTCCACCGGTTTCAATAAATTTGGAAAGACCTTCGAGCGTTCTTTCGCCGTTATATTCCACAGCCTACGAGCAAGAATTGTTGAAATTAACGCATTCTAAACATACCCAAAATTGAACAAAATCAAAAGATTCGTACCAGATTTGTCTCTTTCTTGTATAAAGTGAGTGTGGGGAAACTGCTGATTTTTACATCTTCCAATTCGTTGGCAGTGGCATCCATTTTCGCGATGACCAACTTGTCATTGTCCTTATATTTTTCACCAAGCTAAAACCAACAGTTTTAACGATGTAACAAAGCTAGATCAATGGTGCTTACAAGCGAATTTCAATAAGAAAACATACTTTATCGTAAATAGGAGCGAGCTGCTGACAATGGCCGCACCAAGGTGCGTAAAATTCAACAAGAACGTCCTTCTCTTTGTCGTAGGCAATTTCGTGGAAGTTTGTGCCGACGAGGACTTTAACAGGATTCTTATCCCAATCCTCGGGCAGATCCTGCGTAAGCAGATGCCGTTTCAATTTGCCATCCACAAAAGCGCTGACAAATTCTAAAATATTCTCGGCGCTTATCTCTGACTTTTCAGGCTTGTACTTTGCCATATCCTGTTCGAGCTTAATGAGCCGCATAGCCGGTACATCTTCCTTCTTCAAACCGAAGAACTCGAGAATGCGTTCATGATCGGTCTCGTCACAGTCGATCGTCACAAACAGAACCTATGTTCGCAAATATTTTAAAACGATATTTAAATAGATTCCTCTGAGAAAGAGATGTATAAAACGAGTGTAATATACAAATATGTTTCATACCTCGCCGCGGTATTTTTTCGCCGGCTCTTGAATTCCATCCATGTGCTTTTCAAAATGACCAGCTTTCTTGCTTAGGAAGACTAGCAAATGGCTCTTGATGTCTCCACTGAAAATTTTTTGCGCCGTATCCTGGTTAAATTCAACGACGAGAGGCAACGAGTGTACGGAAATAAAGTTTTGTACATCTTTAATGGTAACTTCTCCGTCGTAGACGGCCTTTCCTTCGTCAAACTATAAAGAAAAAGAAATTAATTTAATTTGCAAATCTTATTTAAAAAAGTAGAAATCAATTTCGCTCGAGATTGTTGCTATTCCAAAATACAGTAATGTTAGGCATACCTTCTTGAACAGCACAATTTTCCCATCTTCAATTTCGTATTCCTTCAACACTTCATCGGTGTTAGTAATACCAAACACATGATCATCCACAATGTTACCAACTTCCAAGAACACTTTGGCGGCATCACATGTGACGTCCTAAAGTAAAATCATTAAATATATATATAGAACATAAAAAAACATCAAGAAATTAACTACTATATCAGAATTTGGTCTTTCTTGATTATTGTAACGTATAATAGTTCAAAATGTAAAAAATTTAAACATTAGTCGATGAATAATGATGAATAAACTACACAGTGACATTGAACTCGAAAAGACATGTTCAATAATATTTGACGATTGTTATACCTTAAAGAATCCAACGATAGCGACATTGTGCGCGTCGATAAACGCTTTTGCCTCGTCGACTGTTGGCAGATCTTTGGCAGGTGGACCAGTCTTCTTGTTCAGCCAGTTGACAATGTCGTCAGCTTGACGGCCACCGGTATAGTCGATCGGGGTTCCTTTACGATAAAATATCAGAGTAGGATATCCCTTCACACTGTGCTTCTCGGCGAGTTGAGTTTCAACTGTTGCATCTACCTTGCCTAATTTGATCGTTGACTTGGCATCTTCCAGTATCTTTGCTGCTTTAGCGTATTCAGGCGCTAAAGCTTTGCAGTGTCCGCACCATGGAGCATCTGTGACAAAGAAATATAATATATAGTTTAGATTTTATCTTAACAAAATACAAAACCATTATTATCCAGGAAAAATTTAGTTGACAATAATCCTCATTCGCAACACATAAATTTTTTTAATATTATTTAAAGAAATATGGCTCCAATGAATTTAGAAGTCTCATAAAGAGAAGATTTTGGAAAAATTCTTTTATATACCAAAATTCTTATTTAATAAAATAAAATAAGATATATATTATATATTATGGAAAAAAAAAATGAATTACCATCCCACAACTTCTATGTTGAAATCTTTCAGAAATATAGTCGCAATCTATCGAATTACACGAATACCATATGGTTAATCATACAAGTGGATAAAATGGCAATTATTGATTTGGAAATTGATAAAATTAATATATTTCAGATCCCGAGAAAGGCACCGTTAATCGTTCGATCGTTCAAACCGGATATGATTAGATCGACTTGATTAGATTATTCTTGGGTACTGTTCGATTATAAGCAATCATCATTAACATGGAATCATTATAATATATGACGCCATTCGACGTCTCGCCGTCTCGGTCTTAATTAGCGACTTACAAAGACGTGTATAACGGTATAAAAAAAAGAAAGAGACTCGTCTCATCTCTGCACTTTCTTACACTTTCTACACTTAAACAAGATGCATAAATCTGCAAAATCAGTTATTATTTTCGAAAAGTTCAATAGGTTATTGAAAGGCATTGGAAAGATATCTAAAAGATTAAAATCTCGTAAACATCTTACTGATTAGAATTTTACAGATATTATCCAAGTGTGACGTCGAAACGGATGTTCATTCTTTTTTACGTTTCTTCGTTTTCTTTCTACGCTGAGGAGCCAGGTGCACCTTCATCATTCTGATGTCATCGTAAACGGGGAGGCGAAAGAGAGAGAAAGAGAAATTGCAGAATATCGCGTCTACCGGTCTCCTGTTATCTCTCCTCGAGGATGCTCGAGTGATGACGTGTACTTGCACCTGGATCTTGCGGGAGCGAAACCGGCAAACGTCGAAATCGCGCACAGGTGGACGATGACGTTTAATCAAGACCTCTTTCTCTCTTCTTCTTCGACCATATGCGACTCTGTCGCGAGGAGATTCATCCTATTTTTCTCCTAATTCATTTAATCGCGAATCTAAATTCCCGATGGAAAGTGCAGCTGGACCGGGGTGCAGTTCCTCGGAGCAACAGATATACTCCGAAGAAAAAGAGAGAAAGAGGAAGATACAATTGGGAAGATATAAATATCGACAGATATACTTACAGAACTCGAGGAGCACGAACTCATTGTCCTGGATGACGCTGTCGAAGTTGTCCTTGGTGACCACCAAGACACCCTCGTCGACCTCGATCTTGGCGAGGCAGGCCGCAGCGAGGCAAAGCGCCGCGAGACAAAATTCGCCGACGAAGCTCCTCATGTTGACGAGAATCTTTCCCTCTTTCTCTCGTGCCGGATCTTTCTTCTCTGGCTGGCGCGCCTTCGCGGAGACGATGTGCGGTGCTCTCTCGGTCGACGCAGTCGGCGATGAATGACGAAAGAGACGGGACGACAAGGAAGACACCGTCCACGAGGAGCGCGCGACGAATGAACGGACGCGGCGCTGCGTCGGCGAGCAATAGGCTCCCGCTTTCATACGCGTGGCATCGTCCTCATCGTGGGGGCCGCTGATTGGCCGAGCCGCCGAGCCGCCGCTGGCGCCCCGTCATCTGTCATTGGCCAGACGCGTCACGTCACGCGTCAGCGTCGCGTCGTTCCTGTCGTGTCTTGCGTTGTCGTTTGTCGCGTCCCGTCCGCGAGCACGTCAACAACACGTCGCGGACAACGCTTTCCTCCGCCGAGATACAGCTACGATTTCCGGGACCACGTTTCGATTCTTCGATGATAAGATAACGAATTCGGACGGGATTACAAATAGGTATCGGATCAAACATGGACGTCCTCTCTTGGAATCAGAGGACAAATTTAAGATTAATTTGCTTTTCTTTTCAATAAACGTTGGAATTTATTTGCATATTTAATATTTAAAAATTAAAGTAAGATATGACAAAAAAAATTAAGAAGAAAAATAAAATTGAATTCTGCCCCCTTCTGAAAAAATCGCGGACGCTCATGATATCAGATGGACTTTGGATTTGATTGTGATTACGATCGCGTATAAAAAAATTCCTACGTGAATTCTATTATCTCTTCTATTTTTTTTTGAAAGCGGAAATTTATATCTTGAGAAATGACAATATATTATTGTTTAAAAATATTCTATTATACTCTGTTTAATTTTTACGATTATTTGAATAATTTATTTTAAATATTATATATTCAATATAAACTCGATATATTTAAAATATTATTATTCGAATAATTGATTAAATCGATAATTAATTTAAAATTATATATACATCATTTTATTTATTTTTATCGACAGAAGGGACAGGCATGCTCGATGAATGTCAAGATCACCGGCGTTATATATAGGTTATGTGCCGATATACATATGTTGTCAGTACTAAAATCTATAGTTAACGTTACGTAGATTATGGATTTTAGGTGCTATATATATTGGACACATAGCTATAGTAAAATAACAATTGGACAGATGCACCGATGCAGCCTAATGCAGCCGAAAACAGGAGAAAAGTTAACGAACGAGCTTAACTGTCAAGTCCACAAGGCCTGTAAATATCGCATAAGCTATATTTTATTTTGTATTTATTTTGTTAGATAACATTCATACGATTCAGATTCAAGTAAGCTGAATTATTTTAACTATATGACTTATATGTTAATCAATTTTATTGTAGTCGCACAATTGAAACAATGGCAAAACGACGAGCACAGCTGATAGGAACACACACACCAAAATCTTGTCCTTCAAAAAAGTTGCATGGTGATCATTTGATCAAAACACAATCCAAGGTATCTACATGTCCTATTCAAGCAAATGAAACAGTTAGATAAATTTTAGTATTTTTGGGATCATATATATATACCTTTTTTATTTTTTACAGAATGTCATATTATTCCTCATTTTTTATAAAATATTTAAACATTGCATGCTCTTGAAACTTAGGGTTCAGATATAGAACATAAAACTCATAATGACATTATAATGACGTTACTTAAGTCATTTTGGACACAAATTATATGTATTACAATTATTTATTTTATTCTATATTGTTCATACATATTCTAATCAAAATTCAAGCAATATAAATATTTTGAAAATTAAATAAAGCAATTAGCTTGTATTAGGGGGCTTTAAATCATTTTTGAATTATTTTTGTCCAGAAAATATGAGTTTTATGTTCTATACATATACCTGGGTAGGAAAACTGATAAGAATATGAAAGAAATACAGATATTAGACAAACGTGCAAGCATAAAAAACATGCATAAAGATTATATTTTCAAAATATTGTCACATTTTTATATAAGTATTTCGTAATTAAGTATTTACCGCAGAATCGGATAAAGTTTGTGTTTCTAAGTAATAAATGTTTTCTTTAAAAAAATCAGAAAATTGTTTTACAAATAAGCAGAAGAGAAGTCTCCTTAACGACGTAATATTTATAATATATAATTTGAAAGATTCAACGTGCCGTTTATATTCATTAATAATACAAGCGCAACACGCTGGTATAAGATTATGGATTATGTAATTGTCGTGTTAAGACATAAATTCCCGAAATAAATGCAGGCACGAGGCTATAATATTGGCGAAGATGCTTCATTATCGTGGTCGACTAGTACGAAGTCACTTCCGCGATTTATTTTCGCGCAATTTTAGACGTTTTCTATTCCGAGATAGCGATTTACCAAAGATTCATCATTAATAATGTATATATATATAGTGCAAACACGCGCGTATATAATTAGTACATTACATAAATAAAACATAATGAGCATCGATATTTTGTGCTGTGCATAATTCACAATATTCTTCTTAAATATTATAATTGTTCGAAAAATGTTAATCATCTATATAAATAAATCCGCAAGACTCGAAGATAATTAAATAATTATAATAATATATCAAAAACTGATTTATAAAATAATTTCCTTTCTCTGTTAAAGGTGACGATGCATAAAGTAACGTCGGAGATATACGCGGAAAACGATTGTATCTCCGAAAAGCTCGACAGCGGCAGTGAGTTGCGTTTTCTTCCTTAGTTTGGTATAAAATATTTTTGGACTTCCAAATGTAAATTTAAATACAAGAATGTAAAACATGTTGCAATTAATTTCAGATACGGTAACTAAATTCACCTTTAAATGTCCCTCATACATGATAGACTCGGAATTGACGGAAGAAACATTAAATTATGATAGCGACGACGATCTGGATGTGGAAAGAGATAGAGAAGGAACGATTCAGATAGGTGTGGAATTAAATTACTGCCTCGCGGGCCTGCTGTTACGTACACAGAGAATGTTCTCTGAAAATCATGGTAATCGTGGGTCAATATGGTATTGGAAGAATTTTATAAGAGTTTCTCTGATTAATATTTAACACAATAAAAATATTAATATGTACATAGCAAAAACGAATATATTTTATATCTTATTGTGGAAGATATTGATAATTTTTTATTGTGGTAAAAATATTAATATTAAAAATAGAAACTCTTATAAAATCCTTCCAATATTATATTGTCTCATGATTACCATGATTTTCAGGGTAAATTTTAAAAGAAAATGCTCTCTGTGTATATATATATATATATATAATGTTATTTAGCAGAATTGTGTATTTACAGAACATAGCGTATCCACGGAGCTCAATTTGGTCGGTTTGCAAGTGTGGAGAGGCGCTTTCCTGTTAGCCGACTATATCCTATCGCATCCGGACTTGTTTAAAGATCAAACGATTTTGGAATTAGGATGCGGAGTTGGCCTGACCAGTATTGTAGCGAGTTATTTTGCAAAGGAAGTTATTTGCACGGGTAATATAATACATACAAAATATTCCTATCGAGAGCTTTAATCTTATCTGTCTGAAAATTCTAGATATCAACGCGGGTGATATTTTGAATCTGATCGAACGAAATTTTTTGAGAAATTTCCCATACGTCAGATCCGGTTATCACATCGAGGAAGTGAATTTCTTAAATTTGGGATGGTCGAAGAAATTGGAAGAAAAATTACAGAGCGCAAATATCGTATTGGCTGCGGATGGTAAATTTAATAATTCTATATTTTGTGATAACAAATGTAAAAGATATAGAGATAAGAGGAATGATAATGGTATTATAATGGTATGGAATGATAGTGATATCTTATTTTTCTTGTTTTTGCAGTAATCTACGATGACAAGATCACGGATGGATTCGTCCGCACATTGTCAAAACTTTTACACACGAAGAAGAAAAAAACCATTTACGTTGCATTGGAGAAGCGATACGTCTTTACTATCGCCGATTTGGATACTACCGCTCCGATGTACGAGGAATTTTTACGTTGCATCGAAAAGTACAAAACGAATTGGTCTGTAGATTATATTAATATAGATTTCCCACGCTACTTCAAATATGATAGAGTCAAACATTTGGTTTTAATAAAGATACAAAACAATATAAGATCTATTGCATATGTATAGCGAACAGCTTATGTTCTTAATAAGGTACGCGAGTAACACAGTATATATAACGCGCGCGATATAACATATATATTACATAAAATATTCACGTCAGAATTACAAGTAGAAAGACAGAGCTCAAAGTTGCCAGATTAAGAAATTAAAATCTTTTTTATAGATGCATACTTATATCTAGTGAAATATATAGCATCACAATTAAGTTGTGTAAAAAATAATTGTCTACTTAAAACAAGTTCTCGCGTTGACATTGTTTTTGCCAACATATGCACGAAATGATTAAACGACAAAAATTTTGCGCGATTTCTAAAAACAAGTTTTAACTTAGGATGTCATCTAGAAATTTCGCTTCCCTTTAATCCTTCGATTAAAAACTGTAATTTAAGGATTAATAAGAAGACAATAAGACATCAGATTGTTCATGAAAATGACAGCTATGTGATATAGATTTCTCACGTCCACAATTTTATTTCATCGTTTACTTTCCTATTTACACAACCTATTATAGATAATATTATTGGACAGTGAATTGAAAGTCGATCGAAGAGAACGATAATTCCGTTAAGCTTAAAAATGCCCCGGCATTTGATCGGCGGCGTATGTTCTAGGAATAAAAAAATTTTATTAGACTACCTACAATGTAAAGAAGACAGTATGTATATATAAAGGAATGTAAGCGCTTCTTCGAACGACCGCGGCAGTAGAGATTGTAATATGTTACACGCAAAATTCATAACAGTTCTAGTATACTAGTTGATATACTAGAGATCTGAACCGCCCAGGTGTATCACGCGAAAGAACAACGATCGTCAGATAAATTAATAAGTCGATTAATCTTATTAATCCGAAGCAAGAATATTAATTAATTCGTGACTTTTAAAATGAATAATTATTCCATATCTCCTAAATCGTCGATCGTCGTTCTGCGGATTCAGATCTACGCTTGGTTTGGTAAAAAGGCACTTTTACTCTACCGATCCGTCTCTCTCGATGTGTAAAAAATGTATAATTTACAGCCTCACAATTTTTTTCTTTTAATATACTTTTATGTATGTATATACATGTACACACGTATATAAATACACGATCGCGGAAATATCGAAAATTGCAAACAGCATTTTATCATCACATTTGCCTTACTCTTCTCCCCCTAGCCCATCAAAAAATCAACGATAAAAAATTTATAACGTTCGACTATAATCAATCTACTTTATAAAGTATGCACAATTCGTTATATAAAAGAGAATTTGTCGATGTGTAAAATACTTCGTTTTCGTGTAAACGTAAATTATTTTTAGAATTCCAAGATACTTTGTTTTTCGTTTGCTACAACGTATGACAAAATGATACTGCAATACTTTAGAAACTAGTGACGTCGCAAGTTTTATGAATCGTTTGCAGGATTATATCGGAAAAGAATCCATTGGAAATACGATGTAAATAAAAATTTTAAAAAAAGCTTTAAAAAAAGGTCAAGTATAATAAAACGCCACTGACTAGAGGAAAAAAAATAACGTATATATGATCAAAGTTGTACGCTCATAAGAGGCATAGTTCGTTTATTGTTCGCGATTGTAGTCATCGACACAGAGACGAACAGGATAGAGTCGTTCGCCGGGTATCCTTGTCCCCCGTTTTTTCTCTATTCTTGATTCGTCTATATATTCGTATAATCATTTACAGCTTTAAATTAAATCTCGAAAACCGAATATAACTAGAACGATAATCATTCGGTTCATTTAATAATTTCAATTGCATCTTATTTATATTACTTGCAACAAATACTGTACAAAAAAAGAAGGAAAAAAAAGTACAATTTGCATTACAAACGCGCGAGATCGGTCTTATTGTTAGCAATGGGTTAGTAGCTATACTGAAAGCTACCTCCATTTGCGGACGGTTTCTAGCTGGCGACGATACTCGCCGCCGGCGTATCGCGTCCAGGACCAATTTTCGCCGTTGATTTTCGTCGGTGGTATTCTCTCGTTCAGCTCGCGTCTATTATCGTCGCGCTGCTATGCTCTCTGCGTCACTTGCACTGTACAGTTTTTACTTTTGTGCAATTTGCCGACAGATCACTCAATGGTATTCCAATTTTCACTCTAATCAGATACACCGCACGTTGGACGATCACGCAATCTTGTTCCGGGATCTTGTTCCACGTCGAAGGAGATCGCATCCGCACAACTTCTACCGATAAATGGAATTCCGCATCGAACTATCGTGAATGAGTCTTGCTGCTAGACGAGGACGACGAGGCATGGCCACTTTATGCTGCTTATGTACCGTTGTGCATATTACTATGCATGCTCTTGACGTTTTGCGAGCTGGGCGAGTTTAACGGCAACGAGGCAGTTGTCTTCCGTCTGGCGTTTGTCGATGAGCTCGACGAGCCGTCATTACCAAAACTGATCTTGTTACCACCGACCTTGGACGCGTCATGTTGCATCGATTGCGCGCCCACAGCTTTCCAGTGCTCTACCTGAGCCTCGTGCGACTTTTGCAACACCTTGCGCACATCTCCATCCTCGCCGCCCTCCTTCATGATCTCCTGCAGTTTTTGTATGGTTTGGTACAGTATCACCGGACTGATCAAACCGAAGTCGAACAGACTGCACATGTGCAGCACAAAGTTGCGGTAGAGGTTCTTCATGAGGAGCTCCTTTCCCTTACTCTCTAAGAACATTTGGCAAGCTAGTGGTATCTGGCAGTCACCTACGTATCCGTGCTTCATCACATGCAGGTTCCACATCTTCATCAGCTCCTTCTCGCCCTCGTTCACGTCCGTAAAGTCGTCGATCATCATCATCGTCTTTGTTTGCAACCACTTGGGATCATTCTCACCCTCAGAATCGATATCCATCTCTTTGGGGTATATAGGCAGACATGTTACAGTGTGATGATACAGCCTAAAGAAAGTAAGTGTTTAGTAGCGAAAGATTATTTATGCCACAACTTTCGTAATTGCTCATATCGTGTTTATAACGCTTACCTGTTGTGACCTGTGATATAGGGTCTCTGGCTCTCGAATTCGTTCTCGTCAAGCTCCAGAAACTCGGACAGGCTCGGTTTTGTTCTCTTTGGACGACACACCAAAATATTCGTCACGCTCGTGCGCCTGGTTGGTCCTGTCCTTGAAAAAGGTACACTAGACGGTTGTGAAATTAATTCGTGAGGACTACCTGCATACGAACCATCATAGCATTCATTTATTGCTACGTCTATTCGGGCACCTTGTGGAATTGGCTAGAAAAAAGCATATAGTGAGTCTCTAGTGCCCTTTATTTTCAATTTTATTAGATCAAGTCATTTATTTCTTTTCAAACACATACTTATCGTACGTCAACAGTATCTATAAAAATATTGTAACTGCAAAGCTCTAATCTTTTTCAAAAACATTATAGCTTTAAAAAATAATCAAATCCAAGAAATTGACATTTTTTCGTTAATGCCGATATATGTAAATGTAAATGATATTATGTAACTATAACTTAATACATATAAATGCAAATATAAATTGTACTTACGTGTACGTATTGTATATAAGTGACATAAATGTGCTTACCACGTATGTGAATGTGAATCGCGAGTGACACAGTTTCAAGTGCTTTAATAGAGAGTACAGTTTTCCACAATCCAAGGAGCACCAGGGGCAGTGTAGGTCTTCGCAGGCCTCCGTCTGTTGCCGGCTGTTATTGTTGTACAAAAATTGATAAACTATTTGCTGAGTTCCGTTAGCATTAGCGTCCACCTTCTCGTTGGAAACGCTCATTCTCGACGAGGGTGTCAGCGGACTAGGCGTTGGCAGTGTTGCGTTATTGTTATTGTTTGTGCTACTATTATTATTGTGATTTACAGAAGAGGAACGCTCGAAGCCAGCTGAAAAGATAGCACCATTTATCGCACATTTTTAAAAATATGTACGCGTTATGTGTGCAAACTGAATTGATAACTGCAGGCAACTGACCATTGGCCGATCGATTTTCTTTATTGTCGCCGTTCGGTATCGAAGGTATTGGCATCGGTCTATCAACTAAACCGTTGCTTGGCTCCGTGGTCCAGCTGAGCCGAAACTTTAACGTCGGTCCCTGCTTGAATATGTCGAATGGTTCGCAGTCCTTGATATCGACTACGGTCTCCCATGAATTGTGCTTCTTAGGACTGGACCTAATGTTAGTCTGTACCTCTTGCAGACCCAATTCGTACTCGCCATCCGTCAACAGACATCGATTGTGTTTATCATAGACGGTGAGCTCCGAGCCGTATTGTTTCACTTCATCACCGGCGGTCTTGATCGAGCCCGTGGATGATTTACGACGTTTTTGAGCTGGTTCTAAGTGAAAAAGACAGGATTTGAAGCGAATAGGTATCACTTTTATTCGCGTGCAGCGTATACATACCTTCTAAATCACAGTTAGTTATAAGGCAGCCATTGTTAGACATGCAATAAACCCTGAGCAAGAGCATGTAAGTTTTCGCTATGTGACCATTATTTAAGCTAAAAGATTCATTAGGTATGGAAATCGTGGGTGCCTTCTGCGGAGGCTGACTCTCGGATGGGTTGATCGGGACCTCGCTTGTACCGACTGAAACCTAAACGCACGAATGTCGTATCTTAACCGAGTCTATTAATTAAAAATTTAATTGCACTACAATGTTTTGTACATAGAACTGTTACTTTGAATTCAAATACAAACTCAAACTTACTTGCATGATAGGCGAGCTGACATCTTTCCTTTTCTTGTGACAGATTTTCAACAACAATGTTTCCACTTTAACGGGATCTTGCGACATCTCAACTACAATTACACATCGCAGCCTTAAGAAACATATAATCGTTGTGCGAAATATTTTGCCGAATGCATTCGCTTCGACGAAAAAAAGCGCAAATATAATCGAGATGTACCTCTTTTGTCGTAAAATCCTAGAAACGTTAGAGTCATGAATCCGCGAACACCGAGATTCTGTTCTTGTTTCTTTTTCGCTAATAGCTTATCCAGAATTGTGTCAACCTTAAATCCTCGCCGTGATTTATGACTTCTGGACATACGTTGCCGCATATACGTTAAATTTCTGTACAGAAATATTGGCTAAAAAAAAACATATTAAACTTTAATGTACATTCATTGGATAATAAAATATTCGGTAGTATTCAAATAATTTATATATATATTTGCTTATACTTAAAAATTTTATACCCACCACATCACACAAATTTTACATACAGCAATTCTGAGAAGCGTGTAAAAATCTCAACTCAGAAAACAAAGCCGGTCAAAAAAATTAATTTTAACTTACCTTTAGCAAATGCTTCGTAAATTTCAAATTAACATTGCGTGTACATTTTAACTATTTACGTTTGCATTTTTATTTTGTAAAAAACTTTTACTACACCAAAAACGCATATAAAAAATTATATGCATATATAACAAAAGTAAATAAAAAATGTAATTAACACTTTGAGGGCAACAGAAATTAAAATTATATGACGCAACAAAAGATTAAACTAGAATATTGTTTACTCACTGAAATTTGATTTCTTGTACGGAGGAACCGGTAAATCTGTGTTGGTTCTGAAAACAAAAGAAATATTCAAGTTACAAATAAAAATATTCAAATGTTTTAATATATGACAATAAGTTGAAACAATTGTGCATTAGAATTAAAATATTTAAAGTAAACTAGTTTTCTCCTGATTATACAATCTTGTAAACTTCATGCGATAATTTTTATCTATTAGCAGAGAGTATTTGTGTTCAAAATAAGAATTTAAAAAAACACCTTTCTTATATTTAAATTGCTTAATTCATTACAGGCCTGCACTTTGAAATGTAACAAATGAAGAAAAAACAAACTTATTTACCGAAAAATAAATTTATATAAAAATATTTCTGTGCAAAACAATTATTCATTTTTTTAAGTTTATAAAAATGAAGCTTTTCATATATATTTGTAATTTTACATTTGCAGTTATCAAAAATGAGATTTTATTAATTTAATTCCTCCACTTTGTTAGTACGAAATCCAGTCCCTAGGTGGCTGCAGACTTGACTGTTATCTCGAATTTAGAAAACATTCACGAGCATTTAAAGAAGGCACTGCACGCTAGCAAAACCGATCCTTCATTCAGGTATCAAATGGGATGTGATGAATGGGTTCAACTCGAAATTATTCGAGACGCCTGCGTCCCGCTATGTTACGACACTAGCAGGTTAAACCTCTCTGATCCCACGTTAACTTTTTAAATTCTATTTTTAAAATTCATGTCCGAGGAATCGCGCGAGAATACTACAAAAACAAAATTTAAAGGTATACTTAGGTCTCGTACAATTTAGAAATAAAACTGAAAGCGTGCCACGCAAACTTCAATTAAACTAAACGTGCATTTCCTTCATTAGAAATGTAAAAACCCATTTTCTTTCCGCAATAGTAGCAATTATAACGAAGTCGTCCACGTAAAGAGTCTGGGTTTTTCCGCTCAAACTCCGAACTCGAGAAAGAGTAAAACTCGTCTACAAGAATGAAAAGAATAGTTACTTATTCATTCAGGAAAATCGACGACGGGAATCGCGCGCGCGCGCGCGTCCGACGATCCGTCTGCGGTAGAAAAAAAAAAGAGCGTGTCGCGCGGAGAGAGAAACGATGACAGGTGTCCGCGCGTTTCGGCGGCGGAGGGCGCGGAGAGTGAAACCGACGCGCGCCCAAGTTGCTTCGCGACCAACGGATGGGGTTAGGTTCGGTCGGGAGATAACGACGCGACGAGCAATTGTCCCGGGGGAGGCGTCGCACGCCCTTCCGCCAGGGGGTCGTCGCGTGGGGCCTCGCGGCCTCCTCGGCGTCTGTCGCGAGGAGATCGCGGACGGTCGACGCTTATCGCGGCGAGGCGACGCGCGTCGCCGACGAGGCGGTAAGGAAGACATGTATAGAGAAAAGGGGAGCGAGAGAGAGATAGAGAGAGAGAGAGAGTATTTTTCGCTTACTTTCGAAGGCCTGCAGAAATAGCTCGTGATCGGCCTGAATCTGATCCATACGTGGTCCCTTCTGTCCGTCGAGATCCTTCTCCCGCTTCTTCGGCGGCATCTTCGCGCGGTCCTCCGTGCACGAGCAAAGCTCTCCCGCGGAAACGCTCCACCTCTCGGTCGCGCGAAACCTGCGACAACGACAACACCCGCCACCCGCCCCGCGCGAAAACTCTGCTGCTCCGAGGCGCTCGGTCGCCCCCCTTAAACAAGACTGGCGCGCCCTCTCGCGGCGAGCCCCGTCGATCCGTCTTGTCCACGAACTACGCGCGAGTCTGAGACGCGCGATCTGGTTCGTTCTCGCGAGCGCGCCAATCGGAATACGGCATTTCTGGGAACTTATTGTAAGCGGTGCCCGATTGGCAGATTCGAATTGGCTTCTCTGATTGGTCGAGGCGCGTGGGCGTTCACGATTGATTCGTTCTTTGTTTTTGTTATTGAATTTTTTGCACTAATTTAGATGAAATGATGTATTTAGAAATTGGAGACAAAAAGGGGAGAGACGAAAAGTTTGTTATAAACAAATTTCGTGGATTGATTTCTGAAAATCGAGAAAATGAGAAATATGTAAATGATAAACTTCCTTTTTTTCTAAAGTCGATTCAAGATGGCAGCGATTGTCGCGTAAACGCCGAGAGAAACGTTCTCCTCAGGTGTGCGCTTCGAGGAAGCGAAATTGTATCTCTTAGATTTGAAATCGTAAGAATCTGAGGACAACGAGACGTTCCTGAAGTCCGGGAGGTCGTGTCGCGCGTGAAAATGACGGAGGAAACGCAACAGCAGGCCGAGGGTGCCGCGCAGAATGACAGCTGTTCTGTTCAGCAAACTGAAACGCCGCTGAATTCGGATGTCGCAAAAGTCAAAGATAACAAAAAAGAAAAATGTCGTCCCATGACGAAGGTTCGTTCTCATATAATTCTCGTTATAGATGTAGATTTTATCTTCCCGATGAACGTTCTTCGACTTTAATAGATTGTTTCTTGATGAATATTTGAATGAAAAATAGGTTATGTATGTTAATCAAACATAAGAAAACATCCGGTCTCACTTTGAAAGTGATGACTTTAAAATCTGAAATGTATATCTTTTACATTAAACATACGTTTTATATTAGAGACACGTCACTTGTAAAATGTGAATAATTATGTTTGACTCTTTTTAGGTGGTGATCAGGAGACTACCTCCGACAATGACTCAGGATCAATTTCTGGAACAAGTGTCCCCGCTGCCGGAACACGATTATTTGTACTTTGTGAAGGCTGACATGTCGCTCGGCCAGTTTGCGTTCTCTCGCGCTTACATTAATTTCATAGATCAGCAAGATATCTTTGTCTTCCGGGAAAAGTTTGACAATTACATCTTTATAGATTCCAAGGGGGTAGAATATCCCGCAGTAGTAGAGTTCGCGCCTTTTCAGAGATTACCAAAGAAACGCGTCGGCAAAAAGAAAGATCTCAAATGTGGCACCATCGAGAACGATTTGTATTTCATAAGCTTCTTAGAGAATTTGAAGAATCAGGAGATCGATTCCAGCGTAGCTCAATCAAAAACTGAATACTCTTATCAACCACCGGATAGTGAGTATATTTTTTACATGTATACATATATATTTCTTGTCTGAGTAAGGGTACAAACACATAACTATTATGAAAGGTTTTAAAATTACAATGATTGTATATTGTGCACAGATACGGTAAAGAAAGTCACAACGACCCCGTTACTCGAATTTCTGAAGCTTCGTAAGCAGGAGAAACAACGACTTAGAGATGAAAAACGTGAGGAAAGGAGAAGGAGAGATATGGAAAAGCGGAGAACGAGAGACGATCCTGTTATTTCTAAGGTAGAGTAATTACTGGGATACATTGGAATACAACAAATACAGTAGGGAATATGATATGGAATAATAATTATTTTGCTTGTAATAATTACTTATCAAACTTGGAAACAATTAGTACCTTATTCTTTACTGTATTTGCTGATATCAAATATTTTCGTCTACAGCACATGTATAATATGGAAAACGATCAGTCATCCAATTTTCCCACATCTCACCCCACAAATGTCAAACTTGAAGATACGTTTATTCAATATTTTGTCAAAAACGTAAATATATATAAATATAGAGAGGAACTCTTCCTTGATAGATTTGTATACAAACGAGCGCAAGAAAAATTATATAAGAGTCATCAAAGATTTTATGAGCATGTTAAAAACCGAAATCAAATAGAAGTACATTTGATGTCAAGAAACAATATTTAAATGGCAGTAATCAAATTAATTGACAAACTTATTTCCATTTCCACAAAGGCGATCATGTAAGAAAAAATACTTCATTAAGAAAGAAAGATTTACTTTTTTTTATTTCAATTATTTTTAATATTAGAGTACATGCAGTAATATGAAATATATGATTTTTCATGTACGCTAGTAGCCTTGAATTTCTCCCTGATTTTCACGTGCAAAAAAGTTGTGGTACAAAAGAATTGTATGTTTGTCCAAGGTGGTATGTAAAAGAATGGGAATCAGGAATTTCTACTGTTGCGCCGTGAGATACACGGGAAAATCGATGTTGATGTTTGTTCCAGTGCTCATGGTTCTCTTGAGAGAGGAGCGTTCTTTAAATATCTATCGCAATTATACTTTTGTATTTATGATTTTCTAAAAAAGCCTTATGTAATTTCATATATACATGTACATTATAATATTATAATTGTTTTAATTGGTCTGTATAAAATTTTTGAGAGGAATATGTTTTAAAGAGAAACTAATTATACATTTATATTTGATAATTGTGTTCTCTCTGTATTCAGTTGTACATTGAACTCGTAAAATCACTAGTATGATGAAGAAATATAAATACAAGAAAAAATATAAGTCTAAGATAATGAGAGATACACAATGTATTATTATTTTTACAGGTTCTAAGAAATCCAGACTTAGATAAAGAGTTCAGTAAGGATGATAAAGAAAATAAAGAGGAGAGGGACAAACTTTCACCAAAGGAATTGAAGAATAGGCACAAAAGAGATGAGAAAGTAAGAGAGAAATTATCGCGAGACCGGGAGATTAAACCAATCATTAAGGGATATAGAGAGCGAATTGACGATAGAAATAAAGAGCTGAAGCCTCGACGATACGATGAGAAGAAGCCTTATGGAAGACGTGATGATCGGGAAAGCGTGAGAGAGGAGAGAAGGCATGATCTCAAAGATGACAGGAGATACGAAGTAAAAGAGGAGTTTAGAGACTCCAGAGACAGGAAGGTGGAGGAAAGACGCGGAAAGAGTTACGAGAAGATGAGACAAGAGAAAAAGAAATTGGCGGAAACGAAGAAACAAATTGTTGACGCCAACGGGGATGAGGCGAACTCGAAGAAGGCAAAAGAGGAATATGATGTACGAGAGAAGGAAGACGAAATCGGTAAAGAGCCTGCACCCAAAGAGGATGAATTTACGCATGCTGGAGATAACGAATGCGCCCAGCACGATACTGCCGAGGATCGAGTAACAGTGGATGCTATGCGAAATTGTCGATTGGATGAAACTGCAGAAGAGGGAAATGGTTTATCCAATCCAGGTGAGATGTTTATTCATATATTTGAAAGAATGTTTTTTCATTTTCTTCCATTAATTTTCTTGATTTTAATATCTTGAGAAAAGTTTATGGCAAAAATTTCTCGCGCAATTTCACCAAGAAATCAGAGCAATATATTTATTTTAGAAATATAACGGGATTATTTCTTTGATTTCGAGAAGTTGGGGAGGATATTTGCGTGTAAATTTTTATGCCAACATGTTAATTACAGATGCAAACGATGAGGACAAATCCGAGGAGAAAGAATCGAAAGTCATGAAGAGACGTAACTCGCTGGAAAGTGGTGGCGAAGGGGGTGCGGGTGATGGTAATTGCCTACGACGTCACAAATCGTTAGACGGAGGTGGTGAAAGTAATTTGCAGAAGAGCGAGGAGAAAAAAAAGGATAAAAAGGATCCACGATTGGAGCGCAGAATACGAAATAAGGTAAGAGGCTATATATTCGCTCAAGAAGCATGCAAAAGCTAGTTTTTCTTCGATAAATTAACATTGTTAAACGTAAACGTTCTTTTTTTAACGTGTATACTTAATTATTTCGTCAACAATTTCGTTGATATTTATATTATATATATTATATATCTGTAAATCGTGTGTACATTCATTTAATTTATCAAGCTTAAGTAGACATATATAAAAACTACTTTGATTGCAGGATCGTCCAGCAATGGAGATCTACAGACCCGGCATGGGCAAATTTAGTAAGCAGCGGCTAGAACGTGAGAAATCCAACAACGATGAACGAGCATCTCTTTCGCAGAGTCCAACGCCAAATCCAGGTACTTCTTCTTCTACAAACAAATCCGGGAAACCCGGAGCGGCGGAGGTGCGCTCGATGACGTTCAAACGCAGCGTCACTCGTGATGCAGTATAAAGACGTTTTTGCGTGTTTTCAACACTTTCGTCGCTCACAATGTCTTCGTCGTGGATGTGAATTCGATTAATCTTACAGTGATTTAATCATGATATGATATATAATGGTTTCTTTATTTTCTTCATTTATTCTATAAAAAACATTTTCATTATGTGCTAATGATATGATTACAAAAGTGCTAATTCTCTATACGCGCATGGAAAATGAACGTTTCACGCACAATCTGATTATTTTTCGCGTTTGTTTTCTCTAGATGTGCTTTTATTAAGTGTAATAATTGAATTAATAAATATAACGTACTCTTTGTTATTACGTTTTTAGAATAATTACAACAGTTTATACACATATATATTTTTTTTTAATGGAGCCTATTTTTCGACAATGTGTGTGTATTTTTTAATGCGAAATGAAACAACGGAAAACGTGCATACTTAGTACAATAATACTTTTAAAACTAACTTTAATAAAGACTGACTTTACGTGATTTTTGGTCGACTAATCGCAAAAGTCGGCAGATTTCGGATTCGATCTCGATTTTTACCTCATACGTCTCTATACAAAGATTAGAGATGAAAAATCCAGTCTTCTTATTTTTTTAAATGTAATTACGATGTTTAGTAATTGATGTTTTTAATAATCTACCTGTTTAACTAATATACACACAAAAAGTATTATAATCTGTACAAGAAATCTTGTAGACTGTATTACTACACAAATGTTTTGGTAGAATAATCTTGAACAAAGTAATATAGCTTTTGTTCATAATATACGAAATTCTTATATCGAGATCTTGCGTAATTTGTTTAAATTTTAAATGATTAGAGACTACTGAAAAAGAAAAAAAATTCCGTGTTGCATTAATATTATTTATCGGATTCTAAAATTCTCTTCTTTTCGATTATTTTTCAGTTTTGAAACATTTTCATGGAGAATATAAAAGATATAAAATAATTTATTATTTAAGATATTACAAATGCAAAATTTTTTAAATTTTAAATAAAAGGTTAAAAAACCTTATTAGATTATGTCTCTTTTTTATAATTAAAAATTCATAGAAAGATTCTAAAAATGTTATTTTTCGAGATATCTGTCAAATATACGTACATTAGTTGATACTTTCTGAAGATCATTGGCCAATGATGTTTTTTATGTTTACATTAATTTCATGGACAAAATACCTTTGTGTTTAGACAACAATTATGTTTTTATTTTTTTCTGTAATACATATTAATAAAGAATTTGATTTATTTTATAACTTTATTTTATAAAAACTTATAATTATATATATATATATATATATATATATATATATATATATATATATAAGGCTGCCTGGAAAAAAATTCATATAATTATATTCTAATATTTTATATATAATTATATATGTATAGAATTTATAATTCCAAATCGCAAATTTCACTTCTAAAAGAAATACAAAAATTATTTTTTATTAACATAAGTATTAATTATACGCAGGCCATACTGCGTCATTATACACAAAGGTATTGTGTCACTTGATTCTATAGATTTTATTTCTTTTATATATAATTCAAGTTATCTCCCGCCTCCTATTACATAATAAATTTTATTTTATAATTTATTGTTCAACGATAATATGCAGTGGAATTTTATTCACATATTAATTAAACTATTATTAATATTAATTGGAACTGCTATTATTGCACAATAACAAAATTTATTTTATTTTAATAAAAATTGTATATCTTGAATATTATATATAATTTATGACATGAGAGAAGTAAAGATTTAGTAGAAGACAATAAATTTATATGTTTGACGTAAGAAGAAGGAATTGTTAATTATGAAAAAGCGATCTTCATTAATCACGAAGTATCGAAAAGGTCAACCACAACTTTTCAAGAAAACAAGTTTCTATATAATTATATATACAAGTATGTGTCCATATAATGTTTGTTTCTCTTATATACTCTACTTATATTTTTTTAAGAAGAGAGAGTTTTTTTAAGCGATGTTTGTAATTAAATCAATATTTTTTTATGTGTATGTTGTGTATGTACATATATATATGTATGCATATATAATCTTCTTTTCTGAATTTGCAAAATTCGAATGAAAACTACATGAGAAAAAGAAATAAATATAATAATTTTATTATTTCTTTTTTTGCATTAAGAAAAATTTGTACATGCTTTACAAGTTTTAATGTTCCGTTATTATTGATAAAAAATTGATACTAGACGTTTATTATCAATTATTATGATATGAAAATATTCAGAGATATATAATTAAAAAGTGCTAGCATTTAGCTACCATTTATTATAAATTTTATACAACATTTAATTGATTAATTTTACAATTTAGAATAAATCAGCTGGTTTGAAATATTTTTATAGGTCAATTGTCAAGAAAATTCAAACAATCAAGATGTCAAATTGTCAGGAAAGTTCAAACAATCTTAGCACATTCAAAGTTTTAACTAACAATAAGTGTGCTTAAGTTGGAACATTTTCCAAAAAATTGTCTTTTTGGGAATCATGTTTTATGTAAAGGTCTCTGTTTCTTCGTACAGTTCCTCCAACTTTTTTAAAAGTTCAAGAATATATACGAATTCAAGAACATTATAGATTAAAATTTTGTCCTTTATATTATATGCATCGAAGATCTTTCGTCATTATGATTAATTTTGGATGGCAAAACTACCATATATCTTGTATATAATGTCAGAATATATACAAGACTAATTAGCTTTTTTTATTATAATTGTTAATTATATTGTTGAGAATAATAATATCAATTTTTCCTCTTTTGTAATGTATACAATTTATTTATATATAAGTATATGAAAAACCTGTAAATCATCATTTCTGACATCAACGATAAAGTGGGGACAACATAAGAATTATATAAAAGAGAGACGCAACCCTATCAAAACGTATATATACATTTGGTACTCTCTGCATAACTGTTTATAAAATTTGCCTTAAATATAGGTACTCAAAATTATATCACCTTTTGATTTTTCAGCATAACTTGCTTTAAAGTGCATGGATCTCTACTCGAATAATATGTTTTGAAGGACGATATAACATATATTGAATTATAATTCAATGTTATATCAACTTTCAAAACATGTTATAATTTTATAGAGATCCATTCACTTTAAAACATAATATGCTGAAAAATCAAAAGGTGATATAATTTTGGCCAGTACTATATATGCAGGATAAGCCATTTTAATCAACGCACATAAATATCTCGTATAGTAAGCAAGATGGAAAAAAGTGTTTCGAACAAAAGTTTTTTTTACTATGAGGGGCACATAAAATGGTGTTATTGATTTGACCTTGTATAATCATTTAAAGGTCACCTGCAATTTCTTAAATTGGAACCTGTTATTTTTCATTACATATTCTTATAGCTTATCTAAAGAGCTTTTCAAATCCTATAATAAAGTGTTGTTTGATGGAGTACTTTTAAAATTATAAAAGTTTAAAGTTTTTACAATTTTTTGGCATAAAATGTAAAATATCTTGTAAAATGTTCAGTTCAAATCAATGACACCATCTTATGTCCCCCTCATAGTCAAAAAACTTTTGTTTGGGACATTTTTTCCATCTTGCTTATTATACGAAATATTTATGTGTTGATTAAAATAACTTATCCAGTATATGAAACACTTATCAATCAGCCTTCGATGAAGAATTAGCAAATCAAAGATTAGAAAATTAGATTAGAAAAAATCTTTCCTTAATGAGAAAAGTCGACCAAAATGGCATACCAATTTTTTCAGAAATATTTTTATTAATTATTATTGGCGGACCTAAAGGACTATTATTTGTTAGATTAGAAGATTAGAAACAGTGTAGCAGAGACAGACCTCTTCCTGTTTGAATCGAATCGTTTTTTTCAGCAAAGTAAATTTTTCTTGTTCTAAGAAAATTAATACAAAATTGTTAAAAATCAATTAATTTTTTTGTGAACATAATGTAATTATTCATTGTGCACACTCTTTATTTTTATTTCTTTTATTTTTTTTAAATATCATACATGGTCGCTTCAATAAAAGTAAAGCTGTAGTGGACGCAATTCAGTTTTAATACGACTGTGTGTTTGAATTTTTAAACACAAAATTTATTCTAGCCAGATAGAGGAAGATCGAATTATTCAACGAGCAAGATGCCTACAAAAATGGAAAGTGACATCGTCATTACGGGCATTTCAGGTAATTATACCGATTATGGCGACCGCGGTATAATCAATCAATTTCATTATAGAAATGAGATACATTCATATTTTTTCCAGGTCGTCTACCTGAGTCCTCAAACATTGAGGAGTTTAAGGAGAATTTAATGAAAGGATTAGACATGGTTACCGAGGACGAGCGACGTTGGACACCGGGCATTCTCGGGATACCATCCAGATTTGCCAAACTCAAGGATGTTAGTAATTTCGACGCCTCTTTCTTCAAGATACATCCTAAACAAGCGCACCCAATGGATCCGCAGCTTCGCATAATGCTAGAAGCGTCATACGAGGCGTTAATTGATGCCGGCGTCAATCCCTCAACCCTAAAAGGATCGCGTACTGGCGTGTTCATCGGTGTTTCCACTTCGGATGCGAATAATTTTTGGAAGAAAGATCCAAATGGTAGATACATTTGTTAAATTTATCGTGAAAATTTCCATCGTAAAATCACACCGCAAAAAAAGCCTTTTTTTTAAGTGAACAAAAAAAATACTCATCTGTTTGCAGGATATGGATTACTCGGATGTAGCAGAGCGATGTTTGCCAACAGAATCTCTTACGCTTTTGATTTAATCGGACCTAGTTATTCGCTGGATACAGCCTGTTCCTCGGCCTTGACTGCTATGCATCAAGCGGTTCTTGCGATGAATATGGGTGAATGCGACGCAGCAATCATCGGCGGATTGAATCTCGTGCTCGATCCGGCTAATAGTCTTCATTTTCAGCGATTGAATATGCTGTCCAAAGATGGCAAGTGTAAATCATTCGACATTACGGCCAATGGTTACGCGAGAGCCGAAGCAGTGGTCGTAATATTTCTGCAGAAATCAAAGGACGCACGCAGAGTGTACGCCACGGTGATAAACACGGCGATAAACACAGATGGCTACAAACCCGAGGGTTTCACGTATCCAAGCAGTGACATTCAATACTTGATGTTGAAGGAAGTGTATAGTAAAGTGGGTATCAATCCCGAAGATGTAGTTTACATAGAGGCGCATGGTAGCGGTACCCAAGCGGGTGATCCGCAGGAACTAAATGCCATCGATAGACTGTTTTGCAAAAACAGGAAGACACCGCTGCAGATCGGCTCGGTTAAATCAAATATGGGCCACTCA